CAGAAGCATCACCGGTCCAACGAAACGCCCGAGCGGCTTCCGGATTTTTCGGCCGTGAGTGGTTTCCACTCATGGGTCTGGAAGTGAAGAAGGGACGGTCAACCAGACACCGGACTCCCACTGCCAGAGGACGCGTACCAGCGACCCCACATTGGGTCCGACTGGAGAGTTGTGCGGTACTGGTGCGGTACCGAGTCGGAGCATCCTTCGCAGGAGCTCGGATTCCCGCCCAGAGGCATGTCAGAGGCACATGACTGCGCCTGGTGCATACGGCCCACCATGGACGTATTTGCACTCATGCTTGCCATATCGCCTCTCTCGCTGTACGTACGTGTGCTGCTGCACTGCACTCATATCCGCTGAAGCGGATATACGCAGCGCATACACTGAGCCACACTTGCTCTCTCGTCCCTCTCTCGCAGTATGACTCAGCGTTCATACGCTCGCGTTGGATTGAGTCCAGTCTGCGCATCATCCCACAGCTGATGGCACACAGCACGTGCTTGCCGCCAGTTGCTTCTTTCACGCCTTGACGAACGCAAGAGCCTTTCTAGCATACACTTGCTGGTTTAGCCATCAGTGCTTTGTTCTTGCTTTCCTGCTATTACGCAGCATTGCTCCCTTTATTTGTCAATAAAGCATCACTCGTGATCTCCTCGCGCTTGCCTGTTACACTGCTTACAAAACTGAGTGGACCGTTTCTCCTGAGGCCTCTCAAAAAGCATCTTACCGAGGGTAGACATCTTATATTTCGATTTTTTACCCCACGCGCCCTTTGTTTCGAAAACCAAAGCAGAGAAACTGAAACTGTCGCGTAAATACCCGTATTTTTACTTTGAATTTGCCGTATTTCTACATTAGCGCTTTTCCGCTTTTGTTAAGAACGGTTTGGAAACGATGCTCCAAGAACATTCAAAAAACATTAGGAGAGGGTGAGTCAGGACTGGTGGGTCGGGGTTGGAAATGATTGGTAGATCATGTCCAAACAATAGGCGACAGTCAGGCACCGAATATTGTATATCCGTCCAAACAGGATGCGGACAGCGTACCGTCACACATCCATTCTCCTTAAGTGAATTGGCGCGGTACATGGTGTTAAAAATGGGATACATACACTAAAACTTTCACTTTCGCGCACTCCGGATCACTCTTTTCCTAATCCCTTATCTCATTCTAAAGCTAGATTTTCTGAATACCGTTTGTGCGCGCAACATCCAATTGCCGAGATATGGCATACTAAAAGGGGTGAAAAGTTTAAATGCATTGTTGTGTACCAAAAGACTGGTTATTACCCGATCTTCTTAAAACCTTGCTGCGAAAGATACATGGCCATGAAGTCAAAAGTCAACCAATAGCAGATCCATAGCATCTTTTTCCGATTTTAAAATGAATTTCAAAAATTTTGTAATTCGTTTTAAATTATGGGAAAGCGCTATGAACGTCAAATTGGTTCACTTTCGACTTTATGGCCCATGTTCCTTGTATAGCAAAGTTGCAAGAATGTCGGGTTATATCCAGACTTTTGGTACTCAACAATGCATTTAAACTTTTTGCCCATTTTAGTACGCCATATCTCGGCGAACGGATGTTGCGCGCGCAAACGGTTTTCTGAACAATGTACAAAAATCTTTTAGCTTTAGAATGACATAAAGTATTAGAAAAAAGTGATTCGGAGTGCGCGAAATCGAAAGGTTTAGTGTATGTATCCCATTTTTGACGCTATGTACCGGTTCATTTTCCTTAACACGATAGAATTTGGCAGAAAAAGCTCTTCCCGTTCTCACAAGCACCGACAAAGAGAGGATTTAACATGCAAGATTTACATTTCACACCACGTGCCACTAGCCAGTTAAATTCGTTGGAACCATACACAGTGGTTACTATGCAATCTTCCTTCAGCTCACGATGCAGTCTTCCTTTGGGAATTTCCAGACGATTCACGTGCCAAGCACACAGACACCGAGTTTTCAGCAGTTCCGGGGCCGCTCAAAACGCCTGTGGCCACACCCACACGCTGTCCAATCACCGTTCAGCAGCGGGATTCTGGTTTCCAACTTTTTGCACTCCGCCTTAATAATAAAAATTCTAACGTATAATACAACTTCAATCCATTGCTTTACTAGCATTCGTAATGGATTCTTAGATTTCTCAATTTTTTGTGACATTTCTAATCTAATGGTGAGCGTAAGTAAAAGTTAAGGAGTTAAGACCGTGTGTAGTTGTGCATTCAGTTTCATTCCGTTGCCTTCACGATGGAGCCATAACAGCTCCTAGTTGGCTGTTATTGGCTCCTCGCCATCTCAAAGATTTTACGGTACCTTCATAATGTACCTTAGTGCTTTCGTGGTTAATCGTTTTTCATTCTCATTAAATGGTTGATCAATTTTGTTATCTAGTGTCTTTGGACTGCATAAGTAGACTGTTGCATAGATGCATCGTATCCTTCTTTACCAGATGAACGGCAACGTATATGTGGTAATTTCATCAATACTTTGGTTTAACTCAGAGCCGGATTTAATTCTAATGAGGAGTTCGTTGAGTATTTGGCGAACGTTAAGACGGTTAAGTCTGCATGCGCTGCAAAAGTGATATTCGTGCCCAATCGGGCATTCCGTGTCCCACCATTTAAAGACCTGGAACAGCTTCCCGACGGCTACTCCGCGGATGTTACGTACTACTTTCGGGAAATTGATTTTGAAGGAAGCTGGTTACTGAGCACTTATTGCTCCCGCACAGCGATGGTGTTGAGATGAGCCATGATGGTGCATTTCGGTTTATTGCATTGCCGCCATTGCGGCAACTGCAGGACTACCACCTCCAGTATGACGAGTGTCACCATCATAGCAAGGGTCCGCGACCTGTGCTTTGATTGTGAAACTCTTTGTAACTGCGGGGCCCATGTGCATGACAAGGATTCGAAAGCCTCTAACAGACGGAAGCCTATTTTATGCCGGACGTCAAGGCAGCGTAAATCAGGCTCGGATTTTCTTAGCCGCCGATAAGTACCACCACAAACCGTTCCTAATGACAACATCCTCGGTTTGGTACACGCGACACCAGAAATACTTGCAGCCACACTCTCGACGCCGGATCGTCTACGAGTTGGAGATGCACGGAATGGTTCTTCCAAACGAAGTGTATGACCCGAATTCCTGAACCAGGTATGGCTCTCTTACCAGAGTTTGAACTGTCGTAAGAAAATCGCATTGGGTTTGAATTCCGGGGTCGTGGATGCGGACACTTCTTGGCAGTCCCGTCAGTTGGGCCCGTGTAAGCGTAAGAATCTTTGCTCATGCTTTTAACATTAATGATCTTGCTGTTCAGCAAAGGCCACTTACTCTAATAACTAATAACTACTGGCTAGCTATTTGAAATACTACATCTCCAAGGTGTAATCAGTCAATACCATATTTATAATTATTTAATTACCAGTATATGTATTAATGTCGGACGAAGAAAGAAACTTTTCGGTTTCACGAAAAGGATAGAAGTATACATATGTATGGGCGATTTCGCACAACTCCAAAAATTCGACCAATATTTTGCGACACGTATTTCTAGTATTCCAGCTGTATTCGTTTGTGTTCTGCACGTATTCCGCCTTATCCGTTAAGTGACTCTACAGTGGGCCGTGCACAGGGTATTCCCCGTATTCCACCGGTGTTATTGCGTTTTCCGCCTGTGGTCTTCCGTATTCCTGCTATGTTTTCTTAGGTTTTCTTAATCAGACTACCGGCGGAACTCAGGCAGAACACGAACAGATACAGCTGGAATACGCGGGAATACGTATCGAAAAATAATGATTCGAATTTTTGGAGTGGTACAAATCGAGTCATTGGGAACTGAGCTGGAAGCTCGATACGGCGTGGATGGTGCAACGGACGATGACCCTTTTGTGACGCTGTCAGGCACTTAACGCCCATCGCCAGCGCCTCATCAACTGCGTGCAGGACCAACGTCGAGTCGTCTGACGCATGGAAACGCCAGCATATCGCCAGATGGAAACAACAACATACTGCAAGGACGTTTTGACCGGCGCAACCGGGGCTCGGCCATCCGGCCAAAATCCTCTGTGCAGTGCAGATATCCCGGACTCCGGCCAGAAGGCAGTGCGCACGAGGGGAACGATATGTCGCCTCGCGAGCGGCCGATCTGGCTCTTCCGCGCACTCGTATTGTGGTGCATCTATCTGAACTTATTGTGATTTTATTTCTCAATATGTACAAAGCGAGCTTCGCTCAACAATTATAATCAAATGAAGAATTTGTCCCAGTTTACATGACAAGGGACTGTGCACAATACACTCATAGCATTACCACGCATAATCTCCGAAGTCCAAACTTAAACGTTGAAACAAAAAACAAGTCGAGCGACTCTCGCCCGTTCTCAAATACAATTTCTTTCCAATCTGCTTTAACGTAACAATACCCATAGATAATAAGTGAACTTATTATCTATGGGCTTGTTAGCTTATTATCCATGCCTTATTAACTGCTGAGGAAGCGGCTGTTCTGTCGTCAGCTATTGCTGCGTAATGTGTGTCCTCACATTCGACCGCGTCTTGTACTGCCAAAATGTTCACGGCATGCGAAGTGAAACAGTTTCAGCTGCAGTTCAACTAAAGTATTATTGCAATATTCTTACTGAAACCGCCAGATAAGTCATGCTCGCAACGTCTACAATTGCCAGTGGCTGCTATCAAGGGAAATTAATGCGCCTGAAATGATTCATCTATTCATCCTTTACGCCACTTGTTACAGGTGGAATCATTACACCAACTGCTGATTTGAAATTTATTCAAATCTCCAACGTCCACATGTGGCAGTTGATACAACTGTCCGGAAACGTTTGTACAAGCGCCCTTCGTGTAAATGTCATATCAAAGCATTTAGAAAAATGCCTTCGCAAGTCCAGTGAAGCACGCTACCCAAAGAATGCTACACGAGCAAAAAACTAAGTATGACATCAGCATTTTGACATCATTTCGATAATGTCATAACATCGCCGTGAGCCAACCAGTTTTATTGATGAAATACGTATAGCGATATAGCTATACGTACTCTGTACACGCGGAACAAGCGCTTGGAATTCAATAAAGACATTTTGATTCAGAAGACGCGTCAAACAGACATTCACAATATTATAACACGTTAAGAATTCGTATTAGTATCTTGTTTAAATAAAGGAGAAAAGAGATCGCGAAAAGCCGGGCAATATAGTGACAGCAAGAGCAAATTTAGAGTATAAATATCCTATGAGAAGAGCTTCCGATTTCATAAATGGAAAAGAAGAGAACCGACGATTACCAAACAGTGAAGTCTGAAAAACTTTCCTAAAATTACACTGCGTACATTTAAATAGGGCAGAAACAACGATAGCGGACAAACGATGCGATTTCTTGTAGAAGGTAACGTATGTAGATGATTCAGTCTTGTTGAGTTGCCGTTGAAAACCGAGCCATTCCTCGCCTTCCTGCGCAGTCCGTTCTCAAACAAAGTACATGTTATTCTTGCCCTTTGGATCCGTGAAATTTTCGTGAATTTTGATTTTCTCGTTCAACAGTTTGATGTCGATGGAGGCGCCCGATCCGGATCCAGACGACGGAGTACTCAGTCTGCAACAGAAAATCACATTATTGAACGATATCCATGAGAAGTACCTTATTGCTTACGTGTCAATTCCACTGTCCGAAAGGTGGTGGCGCGCGCGAAATGCCACATGGTGCGCGTAGTACGCCGGGGCCGGAATGGAGACACTGCGGTTGCAGCGCGCGTAACAGTATGTCAGGTAGTACGAGAACAGCTCGATTTCGTTGGCCGTGAAGTCCGCGTCATCGTACAGGACGTTGTAATGCGCTGGGCGAGATGTTCCCTGTGAAATAATTTTCAAATGTTCGAACACACTATTACCAAAAGTCAGCAGCAAAGGAAATAGCGATTATTCAGCTGCAGTTCGCATTTTAATTTATTACAATCTTGGAAAACCTGGTGAACACTATAAGCCGCACATAAAAACATATGAAGAGGAGCGTGTTATCTGGACAGTGCTATGGTACTGTGCTATAGTGGATGCAGCGAGTAAAATCACACTCTGCGTCATATTAGAGTGAATGGCTAAAGCCATTATTTATCGGATTCGCTGTTCACCAAGTTTCGAAACGAGGATGTGTACAAGCCTGTTGACAAATTGAGCATGCAAAGGTACAGGTAGAGCGATATTAGCACGAAGTTAGCGCTTGAATGATGGCCACTGCACTATGGTTAACTGTAAAGCGCAATTGCGCTTCGTATTTAGATTGTCCCTTATACTGCATCCACCGTTTGCTAGCCACATTCCGCCAGACAATTACAATTATTCTCATTAAAATATCTGGCATGCGTTAAGCCACCCAGCCAGCCAAATGCCTGTTCGTGTTTCAACAGTGTGGCGAGGCGCGCCGGAGAACGAATAACAGCGTTAAGTACCAGTAAATGTCTAATGTTCGCTGTATTTTACGAATGCTCAATTTCCCGACAGGCTTGTACACCATTCTTCAAGCCGCAAACGTATCAATTTAGGCCAAGCAGCAATATTGTACCGTTCCAGTATAAGCTGTCGGAATTTTGACTGACCTGAAGTCCTCCATGACTGCACAGGAAATAATCCATTTCCCGGAAATGGCAAATTCCCTTATCCACCACAGTGCCTGTTAAACATAACATTAACAGCTTAACCCGTACCACAAAACGGGAATTCGGCCAGCGAGGTTACTCTCTTACCTGCTGGCACGTTCTCGCCGCGGCCCACTTCATCGTTCTTATTCTGGCAGAAGAAGCGTGTGTGATGACGTTTACCCACAATGACATACGTAATGTGCGGCTGATAGCCCGGCTCCAGTTTGTTACAGGCCCGCTGCAGGGCGTACACTTCCTGGTGCATCACCTGGAAAGGAAGCATCATTTCAAATCGCAGCGTAATAAAATAGAGATGTTGCTATATGTACCTGCTCAAACTGGCCTTCCGAGACGCCGTCGCGGTAGAAAATCACCCGCTCCGGTTTGCGGCCGCCGTTGCGATGCCGGAATTCAATCATGAGTTCGGCGATGAGATCGCGCAGACAGTCGGCCATAATCTCCTGGCGATGGCCCTGCGCACTGACGCGGGCACTGTACGATGTGAAGGTCCGGTTGTGGCTGGCCACGACCGCCGCAATCGAGGGTTTGTCTTTGGACTCGCCCGGTGACGGATGCGTAACGTCGGCTCCAAACACGATGGTTGGCTGAACACGGAAAAATAGCTCGTTTAAGGGATTTGGCCCGGTACATAGCATCAAATTCGTGTACATCCACGGGAACGTTCGCTGTCGCGCACTCCCAGACACCTTTTTGCAGTGCTTTACGATATTTTGTAGCTAAAAGAATTGTATACGTAGGCGTGAAACCGTTTGCGGTTGCAAAATTTGGTTGGAAAGTTATGGGTCAATCAAAACTGAAAACTCCAAAAAGTTTAAATGCATTCAAGTGTACCAAAAATCTCATTATAAACCGAACTCCTCCGAATTTTGCATGTACATGCACATTTCCACAGAGATCGTGTTTACACCTTTTTTTGCGCCTTTTTTTCACATTTTAAAATAAATTTCAAACAGTTTTAAATTTATTGAAAAATTAAAAAAAAACGGTGCGACCTCTGGTTTCGGTGAAAAAAAAGATCTTCCTGTGTATATGCCTTTACATGAAAATTTGAAAGAAGATCGGTTTATAATGAGACTTTCGGTACACCTGAATGCATTTCAACTTTTTATAATTATAGTTCGCCCATAACTTTCCAACCGGATGGTGCGCGCGGATGCGGCTTTCATGCCCACGTATACAAATCATTTGGATACGAAAATCCATATCACAAAGCAATGCCAAAACGTATTTGGGCTTGCGTGACAGCGAACGTTCCCGTGGATGTACACGAATTCGGTCCTATGCAGCGGGCTAAATGCCTTAATAAACTTCATTAACAGCTATTACCAATAATTTGAATAACACTCCAAGTTAGGTACGTCTTACAGGTCATAAATTGTACTGCGTACCTTTTCCACAAAACGCTTCAGGTGCTCGAACATCCGCGGGAGCGGTTTATCCTTCGCCGTCAAGAAATTGGACACATGCACATTGACACCGCCCACTTTGGCATTGACCTTTAGGAGCACGTTGCCCACGAGCTGCTGCAACTTGGGACCGCTGTTCTTCTGGATCGTGAAGCCCTTGACGACCTGCGTCTGCACTCCCACAATGACGTCCCCGGCTTTCTTCACTTCGGGATACTGCGTGTCCTGACTGATCAGCACCATAATCAAATCCACTTTGACACTCCCGAAATTCTTAATAATCTGCCGCATAATTTGCACAAAGTCGGGATTGCGCCAGTCCGTGATTTTCGGGACTTTCTGCTGTTCCGGATATCCGATGTCCATTCCCTGAAAATTTTATAGACGTTGTTGAGTATGTCACTGGTGAGACTCTGTTTTCAAGCAAAATATACGTTTTCTGACTGGAAAGTCTCGGCAATACCTTTTGCTTGCCCATGTTAACCAGCGATTCGACGAAGGCGGAAACGTCCACGCGCCGCTCATCCACCAAGCTGATGATCACCCAGTTCTTCAATGATCCCGGCGTAGCGAACCTAATGTTACGTGGGTCGAATGTCCCTGCAAAACCAGTTACACTGCTAACAAAATTCTTGCTTTTGCCATTTATAACTAGCAACGTTAAATAACAATTTCGTTTTCGAACTGTCATCCGTACCATCAGCTGATTTCACCGTTACAGCTTTGTCTCCGGCGGTAATCGTGGGCGCATCCAACTGCCGGCCTTCCACTTTGGCCATCTCTTTATCCACGGTGATACCGAATTCTTTCAGAACCGGGTCGGTATCGTATTTAACACCGTTGCGACGGGTATTCTCCACGAATCGTTTGCGGTCATTTGCTGCAATGAAAACGCATTGAAAATTACCACAATTTCCAAACACCGATGAATTGTATACCGGTGTTACAGACGGTAAGTAGTTCTACGACAAAAATGTACAAATACGAAGCAATTAGTTGGCGTACCTGTCTGCGTGCATTTCTTCACCATGGTCGCCGTCTGCTCGCCGGTCATTCGCTTGTCGCATTTCTGCTCTGCCAAGCTGCAGACTTCCAATGGCAAATAGCTTCCCTTCGTTCCAACCTGTATGCACAGTCAACATCGCTTTAAAAGAAGAAAACTGGTATGTAATGCCAAATTCGTGTACATCCACGGGAACTTTCATCATTCACAGTGTTTTGCTTATGACATTCTGTAGTCAAACGATTTGTTTTACATAGACGGGAAATTCTTTCGCGAGCACAATATCCGGTCGGAAAGTTACGGACCAAACAAAATTTCAAAAAGAACAAGTGCTTGGAGACGCTCTAAAAGTCTAATTATTCACCGACTTTTTCGTTGTTATGGGCAGTTACGAGCAAACTTTGAAGAAGGTTAGTTAGTAATGAAACTTTCAGTACATCTTTGGAAATTTCGTTTCACCAGTAACTCCCTAACCGGAAGTTGGCCGTCCAACCGGAATTCACGTTTATGTTTACAAATCATTTGGCTGCAGAATGTCATAAAGCAATGCAAAACCGTTGTTTAGGATTGCGCGGAAACGAAAGTTTCGGTGAATATACACGCATTTTGTGGTATATCTCACTTTTAAGCAAGGCAGTCCACGATGCTTCAGCACGATATTGTACTCCGACTTGAAATAATCCGCTACACTTTTCTGCTGCCCATTCAAATCGAAGAAGAGCTTCTCCGCGGTCTGCTCGGTCACCCCGGTGACGCGAACGCGGCGGATACCACCGCTGTGCTTGGTCTCCACCTTCAAGCCTTTGATTTCCTTCTCAAACGTCTTCCGCTGGATCACGTTCAAGCTAGACGGTGAGTCGTTGAGTAACTCGGATAAGAAGCCCAGCAACTCTTGTTTGCCATAGAAAACCGTGTGCGATTTATCCAGGTTGATCATGACTTTCCACTGCGTGGGACGGGCACTCTGTACAAATAATGAGTCAAAGGTTCTGACAAATATTTAAATGAAATGGCCCGGTACATGGTGCCAAAAATGGGATACATACACCTAAACGTTCGCTTTCGCGTACTACGAATCACTTTTCTCAGTTTCTGTAACATTTTATATCATTCTAAAGCTAAATAATTTGTATACATTGTTTGGAAAAATGTTTGCGCGCGCAACATCCGGTTGCCGAGATATTCCGTACTAAACTGGGCGAGAAGTTTAAACGCAAAGTTGTGCACCAAAATTCTGGATATTACCCGATATTCTTGAAATTTTTGTTCACTTTTGACGTTTCTAGCCCGTTTTAGTTCGCCATATCTCGGCAACCGGATGTTACGCCCGCAAACGGGTTTCAGAACAATGCACACAAATCATTCAGCTTTAGAATAAGATGAAGTGATACACAACACTGATTTGGAGTGCACGAAAGCGAAAGTTTTAGTGTATGTATCCCATTTTTGACGCTATGTACCGGGCCATTTTCCTAAGGAATCACGACAAATGGGCTTCAATATTTTCGTGTTTTCTTATGTTTTCTAAAGTTTCTTAGGTTTTCTTATGGTACTACTGCACAACTAGAAATACAGTGCTCGTGCACGTACGGAATAATATCCCGTCCACATATCCCTTCCCTGCCCGAGTGGCACCGGTTCCGCTAGATGCCGCGAGAAATAGGATCGCCGGATCGCGATATTGGTTGCTGTTGACAGAGCTGCTTGTCGAAACACCGTGTTAATGCACTGCAGAATCTGTAATCCCAGCGCGCCATATAGGAAACGTGGCAAAAAACTCGTACGTTTTAAGTAATAAGTAATCATGTTAGGTATAACGTAAACAGAACAAAACATACAACAATCGGCATGGTATCGCGCTTTCCGGCCATACAGTCGTACAAATCCACCCACGATATCGCCAGCGGTTTGCATTGTTGGATGGAGACCTGACGAAAATCAATATACCAACGCGTTAGCGGGTGAGTTTTCCATGATTGGAGTGTATTCTTACTCTGCTGTGCTGTGATGCCACAAGCTAATACATGCATGATACCCGGATTATTCAGACATTCGAATCTTCCGATAAAAGTTGCGGGCACTTGGTGCAATAAGCTTTTTGATCGCAGAAGGTTAGAGTAGATTAAGAAAGTCACACATACACCCAGTCTTATCATATATGTTAACGCGAGGTTCCCAGTGGTTCGGTCCCTTTGCGGTAATTCATAGAACACGGTCATAGCAAGACTTTACATCAAACACACTTGACGATATATCAAGAAAATGATTTTACTACATAATAGCGTTAGCAAAAAGTTTTATTTTGCTCACAGTAAACTAATTATGAAGTTTTAAAGTCAAAAATTTCAGGGTGAAATTTACTGAGTACTGTTCATTGAAAAAATGTTTTGCAAACGCTATTCGGTGCGGAAACAGCGTGAAAGCTTATCACACATTGGAAATTTCAATATCATTACTATTAAAAATTTAAAGTGCAAAAAACCGATCCAGGGGTGGTGGGGCGGTGTCGCCCCTAAACATTTTCTGCTATAACTCTTAAAGCTTACATGATATCAAAAAACGGTATGTGTAACAAGCTCAGCAGGTAGCGCTCGATTTAATGACACTTTTTGAGTAATTTTTTTATAACGCCTTAATTTGTTGAGAAATTAAGTTTGATTTCTCAGGAAACGCGTTTAAAGTCTACCGTGTTTTGTTGCGCTATGTTCAGTACAGAAAATCTACAGCTGGAACGCTGAGTGAAGCAAATGAAAGACAGAAGGGCTGGAGACTTCACACGCGCACGCCGCATGCAAAAACAATAGCCGTCGGTCAAATAAGTTATCACACCATCCTGTCACTAATTGCTTCGGCTCAGCATTCCTTTGGAACGGCTGATCACTTGACCTGCTCTAACAGTAGCTTTGCATCAGAATCCCATCCATCGCTCTTGACCATAAAAGACTGAATTCATAACCCGGATAGTCTAAAAGCAGCGCTAGCCGCTTTTTCTCTGTTGAACAGCGCTTCCCCCTTCGGCACTCATAACGGAAAATCGTTTTTTAACGTAAATAATTTTTTTACATACATGGTAGCGCCATATTCTGATAGAGGAGACTTTATTCCTTACAATGGGCTATAAACTCCGAAATGAATTTCCACTGGGAACCTCGCGTTAAGTGGGTACCTGGTTTTTCAACACCACGCGCACAAGTTTGTTCGGAAGAAATTATGCCCGAAAGAAAAAGAAAGCAGGTTTATTAAAACTGCGGCATAAATTTTATCAAAATTACTCAATTTATATGGAAATAATGGTAATATATAACTTTGTAGCGAGTATAGATAACACCACACTCACCGTTTGCTCAGGACAAGATGTCATTACTCTAACCATAAAACTACATACGTCACGAACCAACGACTCCGAATACTTATAACTAGCGGCAGGCAGCGGCTATCTATTCAAATGCAACGGGGAAACGCGATATGCGTGATGGGTACAATCCCCGAACAGGATAGCATCGAAGAAGTGTTTTTATTATAAATTATATTCTGCTTTGGTACTAAGTTTTGTACTAGCACTGTGATACTTATTAAAGGTCTTAACACTTATAACTATATAAACCTTAATATCTTGGTAATAGGCTTAGCTTTCACGTTTTTTTACCTAACCAGTAAGCATCACCGTACCAACAGTTAACAGTTACATAGAGAGCGTAGATGTACAGTATATATACTCATATACATATATACATACGCACCCGCACTAATCGTTCTCCCCCTTCTTCGTCTCGGGGCAGAGTTACGAGCTCGGAAAACACGTGATCAGGAGCCACCTTTACTTCTTTCACGGAGTACAGGTTTTTCTCGCCATCGTACGCCGGTTTGCAGCCGTTAAGGAAGGCCTGTGCGGCCGGGGCGCTGAGGAAGAGCCCCATGATCTTCTGCTTTAGCACCCGGGGAACCGCTTTGGGATCTTTATTATCGCCCTTCTTCTTCTCCTTCCGCTGGGTCCCGGTCCGCGGGGCCTCTCCAGCGGCCGGGTCGCTCTTCTCGAAGACCATGTCCACATCGTAATGATACAGGTATCCCGTTGTGGGCGTGCGGATGGCATAATGGTTGGCCTGCAGGGGAACGGGTCGTCCCAGGCTGCCAAATCCCTTCTTCGGATCGCGCTTGACGGCCACCAGTGTCGCCATTCGCAGCGATTAAGCAGCGAACTGCTAATTCTTTGAAAATAGTATTTGTTTAGTTGTTTAAAGAAATGTTCTCCAGGAGACTTTAATTCGCCTCAACCTTGATACGAATGTGATCTAGAGTAGAGCAATATAATTGAGAGTATTACTGATCGTGCTGCTCTGTGCCGTGTGCATGACATAGATATATGTACACATCAGCCTACAGCAGAATTCTGTGACGTATTGCTTCTCTTGTGTACGTTCAGTACGTATAACTGGCGTTCAACGAGTGGTGGTGATTTGTCTAGCGCAGCAAATTTGCTGTTGTTCAACGGATAAAGATCCGTTTACGGTATTGGCTCCTTGATAATAAATTAAATCAAAGTACAGTATAAGTATTACGAAAATATCAAGGTTTGCAAACCAAATTATTTTAACAAAAATTAATTAATTGTCTACTTATCAATACGACAATACCTATACGGCATACAACACTTATTGGGTACCCTGTTTCGGCTTTATACTGGTACTGTGACCACGTAACCGGAAATCGATCCGCACAACGTTATCGATTTTTCAGTTTAATTCATTATCCTAAGGATCTAAGCGAGGTGTGAAGTAACCTTAGCTGTAGAATAAACAAGCACAACCGACAAAAATGCCAGGATCACAAAAAAACCACAGCACAAGCAAAAGATACAAATGTCACTGCGCGGACACAAAAACGATAGCCGTACACAACATTTTTGAGAAGTAAATACTGTACGCTTAGTAAAGCAGAATAAAACTCTTTAGTACCCGTATAGTCTTTGGTTTCTCGAATCCGTAGATAGAACACTAGGATAAAACACTATGGGAAATCCTCATCGGATGAACTATGTCCACCGTCGCGCGCTTTAAATAACTGATTGGTACATTGACCAGTTTCCGTGCAATAACGCATCGTTGCTTCGTTGAACTTTGCACACAATGCCGGAATGGAAACTGCAAAAAGGAGGTGTTTAACAGCAAAAGCTGTAAATCAGTTGGGGAACGTAAATGATTAAATTAATACACATATTTAATCTTTGGAATTTTCTAACAGCTATAACTCTCGAAGCGCATGTTGCGCGCACCAACGGTTTTCGCACCAGCGTATACAAATCATCTGGCTACAAAATGTAATAAAACGAAACACAAAATAGGCTTGGAAGTACGCGAAAGTGAAAGGTTCCGCGCATGCGCTGGAATTTGGTATTATGTACCGGGTCACTTCTCCTAAGGAAAATGGCCCGGTACATAGCGTCACTAATGAAATACATACACTGAAACTTTCGCTTTCGCGCACTCCGAATAAAACTTACATGCAGAGACTCAATTTTCAAATACGTAATAAATTTGGGAATTTGGGTAGACTTCAAAGTATGCGAATGCTACCGCCACACTAACGTTTATCGAAAAGAAAGTGAAGTGTAGTTCGATTACTACTCGCTGGTATCCTGTTCCTCTTGCGTGCAAAACTTTTGGCACGTAATGTGATGCGGCACCGATGCCACAGGTGTTTGGTTCAAGGAAATGGCCCGGTACATAGTGTCAAAAATGGGATACATGCACAAAAACTTTCGCATTCACGCACTCCGAATACTTTTCTGTAATACTTTATGTCGGCAACCGGATGTTGCGCGTGCAAACGGTTTTCCGAACAATTTATATAAATCATTTAGCTTTAGAATGACATAAAGTATTACAAAAAAGTGATTCGGAGTGCGCGAAAGCGAAAATTTTAGTGCATGTATTTCATTATTGACGCTATGTACCGGGCCATTTTCCTTAAGAGAAGTGACCCATAATACCAAATTCCAGCACATGCGCGGAAACTTTCACTTTGCGTACTTCCAAACCTATTTGTGTTTCGTTTTTTCACATTTTGTAGCCAGTTGATTTGTATACGCTGGTGCGAAAACCGTTTGTGCGCGCAGCATGCGGTTCGAGAGTAATAGCTGTTAGAAAATTCCAAAAGATTAAATACATTCAGATGTATCAACAGTCTTATTATGAACGGATCTCCAATAGATTTTGCATGTAAACGCGCATACGTCGCAGTATGCAGGAAGACTATTTTAAACGAAACCACAGTTCTGACAGTGTTTTCACATTTTAAGATATCTAACATTTTTGAAATTTGTTTTAAAATTTGAAAAGATGGTGCAATTCTGGTTCGGCGTACAAATGATTTTCATGCTTGCGTGCGTTTATGTATAAAGTTTAAAGAAGATTGGTCCATAATGAGACTTTTGGTACACCTGAATGCATTTAAACTTTCTGAAATTATTGAATTGCCATAACCCCCGGACCGGATCTTGCGCGCACAAACGGCTTCCACTCCACTTAAATTAAATCACCTGGCTACAAAATGTCATAAAACGAAACAAAGATGTGTTTGTGAGTGCGCGACAGTGAAAGTTTTCGTGCATGTACATGAGTTTGGTACCATGTACCGGGTCACTTCCCTTAAGGGATTTGGCCCGGTACATAGTGCCAAATTCGGGCACATCCACGGCAACTTTCCCTGTCGCGCACTCCAAAACCTTTTTTTGCATTGCTTTATGATATGGAGAAAGCTGCGCACACCACGTTTTACCACCAAAGTCTCCGCACACCACCTTTCACCACCACCAGGCTCCGCCCACCACTATTCGCACCACGTTTTGTCTCGGGCCACCATTTTTACGCCACCATTTTTTTATTAAAATCGTCGGCAGTCTCGGGACACCACATTATACTCGTAGTTTCGAAGATATGCGGTGGTCGGTCGTATATACGACTAATATGAGTTATGTTGTATTTTTCGTGTGTGTACAGAAGGTTAAACTTTTCTTAAAATATGTTGTATCTATATTACAATGTTTTGGGTTTTTCAATATAGTGCAAGGCAAATCTATACTATACAGCATGCGTAATGCAAGTAAGTAAGCACAGCATAAACCATAAAGTAAGTAAGCACTTCTTTAGTAGGCAAGCACAGCAAAACACAGGTGGTTGCGAAAGCAGGCAACCACGCGCAAACGAAAAAAGCTTGAGTTCGGCAAGTCTGCAAAACCGAAAAATTCGCAAACTATAACGGAAGGCAGACGAGTTGTATCAAAAAATACCAATTAATAACAATTAATCAATTTTGTTGTTAATAGTGGTGTGCTGAGACTGTGGTGGTGTGCACTCTGCCCTTGGTGGTGTCAGGAGATTTCGGTGGTTTTTGAAAAAAAATTCAAAAATAATAAAAAGTGGTGTGCGGAGCCTGGCGGTGGTGTTTCGTGGTGTGCGGAGACTTTGGTGGTGAAACGTGGTGTGCGGAGCCTTCCCCTTATGATATTTTGGAGCCAAAGGTTTCGTATACATAGGCGAAAAAACCGAATGTGCGCGCAACATCGGGTTCGGGAGCCATTAGTGAAATAAAATTCCAAACGTTTAAACGCGCGGAGGTGTACCAAAAGTCTCCTTATGAACCGATGCTTTTCAAATACTGCACAAAAACACACATTACTATGAATATCGTTTTGGTACCGAACCAGCTTTCAACCATTTTTTTTCAAATTTTAATTAATTTTTAAAATTTTAGAAATTCATCTTAAAATTTGAAAAAAATGATTGAAAGCTGGTTCGGACAAATGAAGACACACGTTTCACGAACCTCCCGATCTGGCGGACGCACTGAGCATGAACATTTTCTCCTCCTTCGTGAATTGATAACCCAGTTCCGTTTCCCAGTCCTCATCATCATCTTCAAACCGCTTTTCCCCCAGCAGCTCCTTCACCTCCCAGGCGCCCTTAAAACGAGGTTTCTTCGATTTTATATTTGAACCGGATGCCCGTGAGACGCCCCGACGTTCTCCTTTCCCTCGATCAGCCCTCGATCTCCTTTCCCTCCTTACCATGCATTTATCACTGGTTCCAAGATGCGCCACGGTCCGATCCTGCCGCGACCGTCCACGGCTCATGGGCGGCGGTATATTCGAGGCCTCGCCAGGCATTTCGGTCACCCAATCATCCTCTGGATCGGGCGTATCAGATTTGCTGGGAACTAGCGCTATCGTCTGCTGATGACGCGGATCCTTCCGTGGACGTCCACGACGGTGACGACGCTTTGCCGGCGGAGCAGGACTTCCCGTATCGAATGACACTTTCGTCGACCAGCGCGCTAAATCCACGGGAGATGCCATTTCTGACTCTTATGGAACCCCGGACAACCTCACTCCGAAATTTATTTTCAGAGTATAAATGTTCGATTTATTTCCGGGAACTGAGTGTAGGAGTAGCTAGCAAAGCAAAATGCAGAGCGCACAGCAGGCCTTCGACATGAAGAAGTTAGTACTGGTTTAAGCTGATTTTCGTAAGAATTCTTGCAGACAAACGGATGTAGACCAAAAATTTACCCTGCAACCTGAGAGAATGACTACATACCGACACTTACCACATAACCGTCGGCCGGGGGTGGCGACCTAGTCGGGTCGACTTCCGCTTCCGGTGAGTAAATGAAGCATTCTCTTACAAACTCCTGTATATCCATCGTACAGCAATTTGTAAGTTTTGACAAACCGATGTTTTTTCTGATGTTTTGTTGGTTAAACGCAGTTGTTTGCTTGGCTTACTAGTTTTATTGCGGAAATCTTTTGCTCCAATAATGGTTTGGAAAGGTATTTAAAAGTCGTGCATATGCTACACGCAAAACTTCCATTTTTTAGATACGCAGAGCAAAAAAGAGCTGTTTTCACTGCCTAATTTTGCGATACGTATCATACGACCTGAAAATATGCACCCACTGTATCTGTACGCTCGGCATCGGATGTGCACACATTGGTCATGTGGTGAGTTTTTGTCGTTAAGATGTGGCAATTTTTTAAAACAATTCCGCCAATATCATCCGTAAACCGTACTGAAGGTCTTGGACCTATTCCTTTATGCAGTCTTCAAGCATTTATTAGGAAACATTCACGCGCGCCGCGCCCTGAGTTGGAATCACCCAAGACTCCTGGTACAGACATCGACGACGGGACATTAGGAGGCTTTTCCTTCAGCTGACTGAAAAAATTCAACTGCTAATTCCCGAAGCTCTGCATCTATGCCTTACCGTCAACATTGCAAAATACGAACTGTGTCTGCGATTGTGCTTTGGGCACAATAAATATCGGCCGACGGGCCGCTAATGACTTATCCCGGCTGTTTTTCTGGCAAAGTCATCGTCTCAACGGATAAATTCAACGTCTTTGGATCTCCTCTACTGCCATCTGCAGTAATCTCGGTGTTTAATTGAAACTTGGACTTGGATCCCTTAACTTGGATCACATAAGTCGGAATACTGAACGTGAGCAACTTGGATTTCCTAAATTGGACTACTTCGATTACTGCCTTATATGGGCTCCCCTTATATTACTATCCCTTATCTGGGCTCCCGAGCAATATGGGCAAACCTCTACATGGGCGGTAACATTATTACTCACACTGTCGCAGCTGTTATCAATGTTATGACTGACTGGAAATTTTGTTTAATTTAAAGTACGTATTTGATAATAAAAAATAATAATCTGATATGAAATTTCGACATTTTTCAGTTTGTTCAGTGGCAAATCCGGTTGAAATTAATGAGAAATATATATAAATAATATATAAAAATATAATTCGGATGTGCAATTTCGGAATTCTTTGGTTTGCTCACTGGTAATCCGGTTGAGAGAAGTAGGTAAGGGACCAGGGTAGTGCTATAAATCCGATAAGTATAATTTGACGGGTACTGCTAACTAGCCGGGAGCCCAGATAAGGGAGAGTAATACAAGGGGAGCCCATATAAGGCAGTATTCGAAGTACTTATTTTGAGGCTTGGATTATGTTTTTTCCAACTGTTTTCTCGCGCTTATTCTTTAGCTATTCTCAGAATATTCTTAAGGTTCTTATAATTCTTCGTTTCTTAGGTTTTCTTAAGTTTCTTAGGATAGAAAAAAATAAACCTAAAAAATTAAAAAAAATTTATGAATTATAAGAACCCCAAGAATAATCTGAGAAGAACAAAAAAATAAGCACGAGAAAACAGTATAAGTAAACGTAATCCAAGCCCCAAAATAAGTAGTCCACTTTAGGAAATCCAGGTTATCCAAGTTAAGTAATCCACGTTAAGTAATCCAACTTATGCAATCTTAACTTATGTAATCCAAGTTTTGGGATCCCAGTAACAGACGCACAACAGGCGCGTGCAGTATTTTTGAGCTGTTTTGGATTTGTACATAAGCTCGATTGCTGCTTATGAATAAGTGTTTCGAAGTGAAGCTTGATTGCTGCTTATGAATGGGGAACCTATGAGCTTTTCGAAGCACTTAGTGTTTCACAGAGCTCATAGATTCCCCATAAAGCTAGCTTGCTGAGTTGACCAATGTCCATCTTTCGCAAGTCAACATCGTTCCACGCGCGCGGACTGTCATCCGACCAAAATCCGTTGTACCTGCAGAAAGAGAAACCACCATGTTAACCGAGCGTCCTGCAATTCCGGTTTCGTCTGGGTGTGCTACAGATAGTGCTACGTTTATCCCACAAAATTGTGGGGAAACCGGGGGTGTCCTGAATAATACGCTCTGAAATCGCACAGAGAAAGAGTTTGGGTTAGGCATATACCACTGGTCCACATATAAAGCTTTTTGCATAAACTTGAAAATGAAGATTCGCTGCATAAACATAAACCCGTGGTATAAACAAACTATGTACCGGATAAACAGAAACCAGATGTTATACACCTAAGTAACCTAACCAACCCCAGCAGATCTTATTCGGAAGTTTCAATACGCGTGGGATACGCCAATGATTGAGCGGGACATTTCCATGTTGATGTCGAGTACAGAAGGAAACGAACGTAACAGGGCTGTCTTGCTGGCTGCACTAAACAAAGACTCTGGAGCCTGGTTGAATGCGTTGCCCGCTCCATGTCTGGGAACATTCCTTAGAGACGACGATGCCGAATCGGTGTCGCATTGCGGTTTGGATTGCCAGTGGTAGTGGCGCACAACTGTATTGCATGCGGTAAGCAAGTGGAAACTAACGGACACCACGGGTTATCCTGCAATAAGTCAACCAAAGGACGATGGGCGCGGCACCAGGAAATGAACAGTATTGCTAAGAATTGTTGTGAAAGTGCCGGTTTTCCCTGTCAACTGGAACCGACCGGCTTATCGAGTAAGGACGGAAAAAGGCCCGACGGGATTACGCTGATTCCAGTCCGCCAAGGGAAACCACTGGTGTGGGACGTAACCAGTTGGTGTGCACGGTCGCAGGCTCTCATGTCACCGGCAGCTCGAAGAAAACTGGATACGTGGCTCAGCTCGCAGAAAATGCCAAGCGCCGGACATATTCGTTTGTGGAAAATGGAAACTTTTTTTATCCTTTAGTGATTGAGACGTTGGGAGTATTTGGCCCCGCTTTCAGTGAACTGTTGCATTTCATGGGCCGTAAAATTCGAGACTTAACTGGAGAAGCGCGTTCTACTGCTTTCATTAAGCAGCGCTTTACTCGCCGTTGTAAAAGGAAATGCTACGGCTGTTTTGAGCACGTTACCTTTTAACCCAAGAGAAGATAGAGATTTTGGTTGTTTTTTTAATGTTTAAATTTTAACTATTAAGTAGTGTACCGGCGCTTGCAGTCATTGTTATCGTGGTGGCTATTGCCTATTAAAGACCTAACCAAGAGTTTGGAGGAAATATAAGCTTTTCCCGTAAATGCTAACAATAAGGTACCAACAGCACGTATGCAGTGCGAAGTCTGCAGAGATGAACGAGTGCACTTCGCTTCGCTTACCACAATGATAATTCTGCTCCTTTCGGTATTTAAATTATTTATAAAAGGAGAAAGGTTAATGCTATATAAATTATATTGATAGTTTATAATTCCGATGGATATTTAGCTTGCATCAGTCATACTAAATGCATGTAGAGCTGTAACTACTGTAGTTTAGCGTGCCATCATAATTATTGTAAGTGTGGCAGTAGGGAGTTTGGTGTAACCCGTGAATCTGTATTTATCGCTGTGTTGGTGCAAAAGAAATTACGGGGCAACCTTGTATATCAAAACGTACAGTTCTATGTGGGGTTGTCATAATACTTTCTAAGCTAGGCCGCTGTCATAAGCGGTTGATATTTATACTGTTCTGTGCCGGGTTCAACTTACTTGGCGAGATATTGTCGGATGATCTGCCACTCTTCCGGGTAAGCAAGAGCAAAACACCAGCGATAACGCACAGCGGGAGGGGGGAAATCATCGGTCCATGGCCCACATGACATGTGGGCCATGGACCGATGCTTTCCCTCGGGGGCACATGAAACTCCGACTGGTCTGCCGCCAGCCGACTTCCCAGTCACAAATTAAACGGGGAACGCAGACCATCGTCCCAATCACAACGGACCGCGCTGCGGAACTGCAGTTGTCCTGAAAATCCAGAGGATAATCATTGATGAATATATCAATTCGCAGTTTGGCAAGGGGCATGACGTTGGGTTGGGAGTGCATTACTTCGTATTGCATCGTATAAAACAGCGTTTGGCCCATTTGCAGTGCATCGACGATCAGTCCTTCACAGTGGGGCTGGAAGTATTTCCGCCTTTCTAGTCCCATACTTGTCAGGGAAAAGAATTTGAGCACCAGGAAAGGCACGCGGATTTGCGCAACTTCCAGGAAATCCTGCACCAGCTGTGCAGCTCTGACTCCCAATCATGGTCCCGTGCTTGGATGGTGACACTTCTCGTCGCGGAAGTGTCCGCCTTGCTTGACACCATCGCTATAATACGTTACGTGACAGTTATGGTCGTCGCTTTGCTAACTGGTGACATGTTCCGTCAGGACGCTGATGTGTTGAATAGTGCGCGGATCGCCCAGTATCAGTCGCCACACTGCACAGACTCTGCAGAATAAACTTACCGAATTTCAGTTTTGCTTCGGGATTCCGTTGTGCTTCGCAGTGAGCGTGAGCGAAATTTCTTAGACCCTCTCGCTGCGCAAAGTTAATGGGAATCCACATTAAAGCGCGATTTCGGCTAAAACAAACCAGCCAACAGAATCGAATTTTAAACTTTACTGCAAGTAAACGGAACTCTCTGGGCTCCATTAAATATCCAGAGAAATAAGGTCCATAACGGCGCCCGCAGTCGCAAACTACAAGTTACAACCAAAACGCACTAAAAAGTTACAGAGTACTTTAAAGTCATTCGGCTCTATATCCAGTTTCACTATTCAGTATAACATATTAACATTGCGGCATTTACCGCATGGCTTGGGCTTGTGAGTGGAGGTCCAGATCTTCCAGGATCTCCGTTAAAAGCATGGATGGTAAGTCACCTAAACATAAAGGGCTGTATGTTTACAAACATAAACATAAAAGGCTGTACGGATCAGCGACTGGACTCGATACTTCCAGGATTCCAGGCACGTGTGTGGATATAATGTACATTTCGCAGCCCACAACGAAATATAGCAGAATGGCAGGGCGAAAGCGAAACGGTCCGTCGTGTTCATCGCGGAGTGCTGCGAATACTATCCATTTCCTGATAGATTTCTGCCATAGAAAAGTAACCTAACTTTATCGAAGCCGGAACAAGAAATCAGACTGTTGCTGAACTAAGGAGATACTATTTCCACGCACTGAAAAGTGCGGCCTTAAAACGAACTGCATTAATCTAGAGCAGTTTCACTCCGTTTATATCGTCCATCAGATTGATTAAGTAAAAGCATCCCTATCCTTAGTTCTAGTCGGATGCAGAGGATAATACTTGTAGCTTACGCGTTGGTTTACCAGATCAGGAGCGAAACTTCGGGAAATATAAATTTTAAACGGTATCCAGACAAACCTTCACTTTCTGGAACAATCCTGGAAAACAAATCGTCGCAAGTGGACAAAATTCGCCAGATGGGATTGAACACAGAAGGGCCTTCTGCATGCGTTCGCATTGGTAGAGATACTCGTACATTCTGAAAACTGGCAACTGCAAACTGTCTTAATTGCTTAATTTAACTTAACTGCCAAATCGGAAAGCTTGATTAGTGATTAACGACAGTACTCACGTAACCGTCGGCCGATGGTGGCGCTACTTTAGTCAACTCAACTTCCGTACACTATACAGAACGATTGATAATAACTGAATTTTGTCGGAGTGTTTGCAGTTCTTGTCTGCATGCTTCCTTTCGAATCTGCGGACTTTCGTAGATTGTAAGCCGTAAGACAATTACACAGGAGGCTCCGATTGGGATGACACAGGTTCATCCCAAGTGGTCAAACGCAACAACGTAACTCACGGTATGTTTAATGACAAGAGCAATGCAAGAAACGGTGCCAGGTTGTAATTATAGGCAAGGTTTAAACAACAGGAAAAATGTCGATGCAAGCTGTAGCAAGCGAATACTAAATTGGATTCAAGAAATTCACGAGAAAGAAAAAAAGCCGGTAAAATGATAAGTCATAACGCGATAGAACGACGAATCATAACTGGGTAGTCAGCTTTTCGGTTGTACAGGTATCGCTACAGTACCTTATGGAAGTAACCACAAATACAAACAATTGCTATTTTTACCTCGATAACCAATTGGGAATTGATCAGCGGATTAATGGATGCGGTTTCTCAGACTGTCCTTTCCCCAAATCGTAATAGGCGCGGGCGACCAAGTTCTTACTTGGTCGTCCGCGCATGCTATGACCGTGTTGTTCCGAACAAGAAGGTCACCGCAGTAAGTAAGGTGTCAATTAAATCCGTTTTTGTTATGGTGTCTTCGAAGATACATGCACCTTCATTGCATGTATCCAAAGAAAACGCATTCATCTTCCTCGAGTGCATCCGATGAAGGTACACGCTGGTCCAAAACCAAATTACATTATCTGCAATAGATACATGTACCCTCATCGGATGCACCTGAAAAAAAGATTCAGTTTCCTCGTGTGTATCCGATGATAATACACGCTGGTCCGATATCTAATTCAACTATCTGCAATAAAATTAAAATTGATTCGTATATTTTTAAAGTTTACGTATATAAGAATAATTACAGTATTGTGAGGAAATTAGTATATTTGCATTCTTACTGCGCATTAATTTTATGTAAGTGAAAGCGCATACTGTATATCAGTAGTGAACACCATAACCCAGCAACATTTGTTTGCAGTAAACACAAGCGTAGTGAAGAATGTAAAGGACGAAAATATGGAAAGAGAATGACGTTAAACAGTGCAAACCACCTGTGATTTATTTATGAGCACACACATACCATATGGCGAAAAAAACGCTCTTAATCTGGAGGGGATGCGCCCCCCTCTCGCTACGGCCCTGCTGATATGATCGCTTTCTGGCTTTTCAATAAGAAAACTTCCAACACATTTTGACCGGGAAGTTCCTCTGGGTAAATTTCACGGTATGTAACGAACATTAATCCTAACTATCGATATCATTGGCTGTATCCTTCCATTCTACACTTGTGGCACTGATGTACCTGAACTATAATGCGACGAAAGTTGCACAATTTACATGTAATGCGAAACTGTCCCATATCAAAACAGAATATTGTCACAATTGATCCTGATTGTGATCCTCAAATAATCCCAGAGCCTGGATCCCAAGAATAAGGATGTTTTAAACCACGATCAGATTGAGGCCCAACCGGAGAACATACTACACTGACGCATGCATGCAGCGTTAAGCTGGGCACTTGAATGAACATGAACAAAGTACAACCAATCATTAACGACAATCTAGTGGGGTACGCCCCTGCTCGTTATAATATACCGTACTACTGGTAATACATGTAATTAAATTTTGCTGGTAGGTTGAAATTTGCAGATTTTCGTGGATTGCAAGCACGAATCCTTTTTCATGAAACCGATCCTTTATCTGCAGACTTTTCGGTAAACCACTATATTTTGATTCCGGTCACCCGGAGTTTGTGGGGAGTAAAGCCGTTGATCGCACTCTGACAGAGCTTATTGGCGAGTTGCAGTATGCTCCACAACGCCAGCTTCGCAATCTTTCACTGATGTTACTTCTTCTCCGTTTTATGGCTGGAAGTATTATTGCGGACAACGGTTGATTGGCCCAGTTTGTGTGGTTTTGAACCTGTCAAGTCCGTAAAATCAGCCGGGAACATCTTGCGTCGGTTGCAGTTGTGGATGATAAAATGTACAAACCTTGTGGATGATAAAATGTACAAATGTTGTGGATGATAAAAATTTTGGAAACGCTATTCGGTGCGGAAACAGTGTAAAAGATTATCACACGTTGGATATTTTAATATTCTTGCTATTAAAAATTTAAAACGCAAAAAACCGATCCAGAGGTGGTGGGGCGGTGCCGCCCCTGAACATTTTCTGCCATAACTCTTATAGCCTACATGTTATTAAAAAACAGTATGTGTAACAAGCTCAGCCGGTATCTGCAGTGCTCGATTTAATGGCATTTTTTGAATAATTTTTTGATAGCGCGTTGATTTGTTGTGAAATTAATTGTAAGTTTGATTTCTCACAAAACGCGTTCAAAGTCTACCGTGTTTTGTTGTGCTGTGTTCAGTACAGAAAATCGTCAGCTGGAACGCTAAGCAAATGTAAGGACAAGGGCTGGAGAGTGGAAACGCCAGACGCACACGCCGTAAGCAAAGACAATAGCCGTCGGTCAACTAAGTTATCGCACCATCCTATCACTAATTGATTCGGCTCAGCATTCCTTTGGAACGGCTGATCACTTGACCTGCTCTAACAGTAGCTCCACATCAGAATTCCATCCATCGCTCTTGACCATAAAAGACCGGTTTTATAACCCGAATAGTCTAAAACCAGCGATGCTCACACATGCAGAAAGCCCTTCTACATGCATTCGCGTCTGACGAATTTGTCTACTTGCGACGGTAACTGTTTTCCATTACTACAGTGTATGAGAAGGTGACGGTTGTTTGGATAGCGTTTAAAACTTATATTTTCCTGACGTTTCGTTCCTGATCCTGTAAACCATCGTAGCGCACCATCGCGTAAATCCTTCTAGGGATATTTTTACTTCATTAATCTGATGGAGGATTTAAACGGGGTAAGACTGCTCTAGAATAAATGCAATTTTGTTTTAAGACTGCATTTAAGTTTTAAGACCAATCCTACTAGAACGGTCGCCATGGTCCGAGATCCTCGATTTACCACTGGCCATACCACCCATTACCACAAACAGTGTGACCGCGAGGGCGAGTTTTTATTTTGTTGGTGGCTATTGCCAATCAACATAAACAAAAAATGTTAACTACCTAGTACCGGGTAGAATGACATCCCGTGTGAATGCAAACGCCATTAGATGCTAAAATCTTTGTCAAAAAATTTTTTGGAACAGTTATCCGGAAACAATCGAAACTCAGAAAGAGCCAACCCACAGGCCATACCAGCCGAAGGTCATACCACAGGCATCTGAGGCGAAGCCGAAGATGACTCTAGTTATGTAATATTGTGAAAGGTTGGGAAATGTGGATTGGCCACTTTGAAAAAATTGGATGTTGCGTGCAGTGCAGGGGAAAGCACTAGTGTTAAACTCGAACGCATAGGACGTCCACCGGAAGTTCTGGGAGTCTACATATATGTAGACTGCGAGAGCAAGAGCTGCGCTCCGGTCTGCCAGTGCCCAGTTTGGTGCATTTTCGGATTTTCCAATATTTTATTAATAATAATATTGTTATTACATCGAGAGCAGACAACCCGATCAATGGGACTTCGTTGTCTGGTAGACACAAAAGTAAAAACAATACCCATTCGGAGAGCAGATTTAAAGAACCACCCTACCAACACTTTTTGAATGGTTAGGTTTAATGGCTTATTGTCTACAGATACAAGGAATCACTCCTTATCAAGATCTATAGACAATTCAAACAAATAAAAAAGTGCAATAGCTTGCGTTTAATGGAGTCACGGTATGCTTCCGATGCGCAACATGAGCCATCATGTACATATACCTGTTTGAAAAATAACCGGAAATAATTATTAATAGTTTGCAAATTAACATAAAGCTGACAGCACTCCAACCAACAAAGACAAGGAATGTTTTACCAGTGTCCGGTTGTCCGGTAATAGAGTATTTTAGGCAGCGGTTATCTATCCAAATGCAACGGGGAAACGCGATATGTGTTGTGGGTACAATCCCTGAAATAGCATTGAAAAAGTGTTTTTGTTATAAAACTCTTTTTTCTAGTACTCAGTTTGTACTTACATGACGATATTTATTAAATGCTTTGACACACGGTTATCTTTAAATACCTAAAAGCTGCAAAGTCCTAAAAGTTTTCAGCTTGTATAAGCAACTGAATAAAGGCCACTTGAGTATATCCATAATCGAGGCCAAGGCCCTCAAACAGCCAAATCTACAGATACGGTAACTGCGGCAAATTAACACTAGAAAACACTAAAAGATAGTAAGGTCACAACATACGTCTACAATTCTAAAATATTAATAGTGCACGGCTATTCTGTCGATCTTAGTGCGCTAAATTGTCAGAAATCTGTTTAAACTGAGTAAACAGGTGCAGGTGCAAGTTTAGTTCCGACGGTTCTTCTAAATTATCGTTCGTTAATTGTTGTTGAAGTCTGTATTTCTTTGTTATAGCACAAGATGGATTCCCGACCAGTGTTTCCGGCATTTCGACGGCTTTTGGTTGACAAAGAGTCGACCAACTACCAGAACAGCGTAGCAGTGCGGATGGACATCGGCACCTGCTGTGGGATACATCCTGGACATCCAGGGTGACTACGTGTTGGTCGACTTTAATTGCTCCAAAGCGCCGGCGCGCCGTATCCATGCTTCACATGTGTGGCCGCTACAATTCATGTCCGCCAGTCTGCTTTGCGACCAGTATCGCAACATGGCCGTATTTGTGGCTCTCCGCGACCACCACGACGCCGCTTTCCGCTTCCGTCCGGCCACGGTGCTGAGCATCGTTCGAGAATGCGCGATGTATGTCATCAGCACGACCGTACCGGGAACTGGAAGCGATGCAGCGCCGGGTACGCAGTGCCTGGCCGTTGTGGACCGGGGTCAGATTATGCACCGGTGGCCATTCAGTGAAGCGCCCTTACTCGCTAAGTCAAGCGGGATTCTTTACACGCGCCACGAAATTCTCCTGGGCCCGGCACAATTCCCTTATGACACAGTAACGGACGCGCGGCGGTTTGTGGAAACATTTGGCCAACTGTACACGGCGCATCCATCGCTGATGGACATGGAGGACAGCTGCCGTTTCGACATGCGAGTCAGCTCCGATCGGTACACCTTTATCGTCGTGGGCGGTCAGAAGGACACCGCAACCATTAACTGGACAGTGGAGACATTGCGGAGGATTCTGGAGAAGCATGCCACCTTTCGTGCCATCCTGCCAGCAGTGAATATGGACATTACCGAAGGCTGCCTCGAGGGTTTGGCTACACAATAAATCAATTAGAATACCTCCTGCAGCTTTATATAGCTACAGAAAATTTGCAATCATTTAATGGAAAATCTTACACTTTTTCCGGAAAAACGCTGGCTGGCTTCGCGCAAAAACTGGCATCTGATGTAATTTTTGGCCCGACACTATGCTTTTACTTGTACAAAACTGACCCAGTTTAACTGCTTTCTAGAGCTTCTACATTAAGGATTTCATCTTTTTTGGTTCTTGGGTTTTTTAGTGACCTCCCCTCCCATAGAAGTGGAAATTGTCTATGGACATCTGCTTTTGAGGCTTTCAACTGAATTTTGCGGCCCTTCACTGCGCTCCGCTCAGTTAAAAATCATCGGCAAGCAGTTCCTATCGGAAATGACCTAAATTTCGCAAGATCTGCTGAATTTTTTATATAAATATAACGGCTCTCCTCTTCACAGGCGAATTTAACTTAGGCTGTAAGCCACTGAGAATTCAAGGATCCAAAACGGTGAAGTTACCTGATATAAGCACTGGTTCAATTTTTCGAAATGGCTACGCGCGCGACTATCGCTTGCAAAATCAAACGACTGCGCGCGCGAGTTAGTGAAACTAGCTCCTCGATTTGTATACTGTAGTATCTCTTTAATTACCACAGTATCAGAGCTACCACGGTATTGCTAACGGCAGGTACACACGATAAAAACCCAGTTCAAATATTTTAATGTTGTAGAAAGTAATTTCTTCCACATACTCGTATGTCGTGCTATACAGGACAAGCTAAGTCAGCATGATTTGATGAATGAAGTTTATTGTCCTTGCCACATCCCGCCGCAGTGGCAAATCTAGGGGGGTTTCTAAGGGGGAGCCAGAGAATTCAGAGTATTCTTCCGCTTTTTCGACGACCTCCGCCGTGAAAAAAAAATTCACAATGTGCCCCCCTCCTGCGAATTTTTTCGACGTCCGAGTTACGGGGTGGGTTGCATTTGCCCTGGAGCCCTCCCCCACCCCCCCCCCCTCAAAACTCGCCATTGCTTCCGGCACAATCAACCAAGTCAGTAGTCTTCGCTGTTGTAGAGCCACACTGAGCAACTACACCGGTACCGTACTAGTTGCTAGTTTGGTTATAATTGTCCCTCTGAAACAAATTCGACTCTTCTTAAAACAAGGGACTGTTAATTTTTATGTCATACGAGGCAACTGTAAAAGCATCTGGTAAAAATTGACCAGACTAGTTTTCACAAACTCAAGAGAAAACGCAAGGACATCCAACTCATCCGCACCACGAAACTTTCCCTGTTTCCTATAAGACTCTGTCCGCCTAATGTGCAAAAAGGGAGTCGAATACTGCCCAAACCGGAAAGATGAGCCGGTCGCATATACAATCAACCACAACGGCTCTCGAAAGTGGTTGCAACGCTTACGTTCAACTGAAGCTTGTTAACGGTATGACGGAAATCGAATATTTGCCATCTGTGGACGATAGCTCACCAGTATTGCTCAGCATATTATAACAGCAGCCGGTTTGACAATGCTGTTCTAGTGGGTTGGTTAGTTTCAACCTTACCATTGTTTGTCGACTCTTAATGTGGAAAGGTTTGGACGTTCAACAGCGGTGCTGACCGGGAGCTGACTAACGTGTACACGGTGACGGCGGCTGGGATGCCCGCTCATCCAGTTGCGGTTAAGCGGCACGCCACAAGGTCATTGCCAGAGTTTACTACTCGTACGGCCGTTTAGGTGAAACACTATGATAAGTAAATGGGCGATGGTCGTTTAAGTAAAACACTCGAGATAACATTTCCACAAACCGATTTTCTCGGGAATTTTCACCTCAATCGATCAAACGAGATGTACACTTTACAGAGTACTTGAAATTTTTAAAAGAGCCTGAACCGCTTTCTTGTAAAATGCGTCGTAAAGAAATCAGTGACGAAAGTGTTTTAGCCACGCCACGACTGCCAATGCATTACGCTCTACGCATTATGCTCAAATATTTGCAATCATGCCATACATGGACGGCTGTACCATCGCCGTGTAAGAAGTTTATTTAGACCAAATTGAATTCAGTTTGAAGACACCAACTTCAAAGAAACGAAGAAAACAACACATTGGAACATAAATTTACCTGAACTGAAACAACAGCCGCACATGTGAGATGGCGACAAATCTTTGAGCGTAGTGCAGTGGCACTCGTGGCGTGGCTAAAACGCTTTGGTCACTGATTTCTCTACGACGCCTTTGCAAGAAACGGTGCAAGCTCTTTTAAAAATTCGCGGGCGCAGGAAGAAAACGGGTTTGGCGAACCGGTTGCTTTTGGGTTTACAGAGAATGAACAAGCGGTTACATTCGAACTGCTGCTTGGCACGGTCCGTAAACCACTACCCCCGGCAGCAGCGGCTGTTGAGACCTTCTCTTAAGTACTCACTTTTAAAAAATTTGAAAGCAGTTTTTACAGTACATAAGTTTACCGTCTTTCAAGATCTCGGGCTCCCAGTGCGTGTCCCTCTCAAGCGTTTTAAATTCGCCTGTGCATAGATAGATTAAACCATTTTTATTAAAAGAAATTCAACTTGTTTAATTTGTATGCGAAGCAAGTTGCCGAGTCAAAAATGCTGAGCGTTTTCGCTAGAAATTTCTTGAAATTTATGTTGAAAGTAGTAAAAAATTTCCGAATATTTTGCAGTGAAGTTAATAGACAAGAAGCAGTGCTGTTAAATGTACCGACTCTACAGAGTTTAAGAAAAGGCGCATTACGTTTTTACTGCGGCAGTTGTTGAAACTTCTATAAAAATTAATACATTTACACGAACGTCTGGTTCAAGTAGTTCTTGGAGCGTGACAAACGCTAAAGGTCTTTAGAAAAACGTGAAAATGAAAAAGAATAACGTACTGCAACATAAGTAAAACAAAATCCTGAGAAAACATAAGAACGCTAAAAATCTTAAGAAAAACGTCAAAATTTTAGAGAAAAGTCTTAAGAAAAACATTAGAAATACGAGAAAAGATAAGAAAACTTCGGAAACCTAAAGTGTTCGAGGAACAGTAAATAAAAGTTTCTGCTTAAGAGAAGCATACCGAAATGCCCGTGTGCCGAAGTGTCCAATGCCGAAATGGTCGGAAATGGTATTCAGTAGAGTAGTCGCTAATTAATAGCATAGTTATTTGATAATGTGTGTATTGTGGGATACTGTGGACCCATGCCTATATTCCCATGTCCCAATCCACTGCTGACTACCATTAAAGAGCTTCTTTTGCGCGAGGTCAACTGCTAGTAATTGGTATCGAATAACAATATGCTGTGTTTAAAGTATTCACCGTTGAAAAAAACCCGGAGACCCCCTTTAATTTCGCCACTCGTCTGTTTAAATTCTTTTAGGATCTGGGAGCTCCGTTAGAATTGATGACCAAAAACCAAACGATTCGGGCACATTTTGTAGAGCTGCTTGCTTATGCCATCTGCCACACATACTCTTGACCGAAGTTCTGGAATACCTGGACGTGCATGCACAGGCCCAGGCCAGCCGGTAAGTCATATTTGGACAATATTATAGAAATTCCGCAGATGGTAAACCTAATTCGAAGTCGTTCTTTTCCCGCAGCCTATGTTGGTTGCCCTTGGGCTTTTCTGTCGCACTATGATCGGCGAAATATTGAAGTAGCATAGTGAATATTTTGCCGCAAACCAGCTCGGTGGCTATTTCGCCGCACCCACACTGTCTCTTTAGCTAAATATTCCACATATTGATTGTTTGCACAAATATTTAGGAATATTAATCAGGTTTTGACATTTTTATGTCATTTCTTAAGCTTTCTCCTTTATATAAATTTTTATGTTTTCCTTATATTTCCTATGTTATCTTAGGTTTTCTTATGGTTGCGTATATTGTATAATGCTGATATATTTTCGATTATTTCTTACATTATCTTATGTTCCTTATGGTACCTTATGATATCCTGTGTTTTCGTATCTTATCTTATGTTCGTTTGTTTTCCTATGGTTTCCTGGGTCTTATCTGGTTTTCTTATGTTACCTCGTGTTTTCTAATTGTTCTTTATGGTTTTATCGGTTTTTAAATTTTTGAGTGTTTCTTATGTTTGCGTGTGTTTTTTTTTACATTTTCGTGGTCTTCCTGCGTTTTCTTATGTATTCTGGTTTTTTCTTAGGATATTTTTTCTTTGTTGTTCGAAATTGGTCTAGGTTGTCCATGTTTTTTGGCCTGGTTTCTAATTTTCATAGTAAATTTGAAAAAGCTTGTAACGGCAAACAAGTTTCTTTGTGAAGTAGTAAGAAGCAAAATAGCCAGCGAGCTATCTGGCTGCGCGTACTGCGGTAAAAATTAATAACCTGAGGGCCCATGCTCAAACTCGGACTTGGACTCGGACTTGGAATACTAAAACTTCGACTTCACTTGGACTCTAAAACTTGGACTTCACTTGCACTCTAAAACTTGGACTTTATGACTTGGGCTTGGAATAGGCGTTTCTTATGTTTCTTACGTCTTCTTACGTTTCTTCATGTTTTCTTAGGTTTCTTAAGGGATTTGGCCCGGTACATAGCACTAAATTCGTGTACATTGACGGGATTATTCGCTTTCGCGCACTTCCAAACACTTTTTTGAATTGCTTTTTGACATTATGTAGCCAAATGGTTTGTATACAGAGGCGTGAAATCCATTTTCTCGCGCAACATCCGGTTCGGGAGTTATGGCTATTAGAAAATTCCAAAAAGTTTAAATGCATTCAGGTGTACCAAAAGTCTCATTATGGACCGATCCCTTTCAAATTTTGCACGCAAATGCACATAACCATGAAGAGTGTTCTTACACGGATCCAGGCTTACACGATTTTTTTCGAATTTTAAAATGAATTTTAAAATTTTTGAAATTCATTTTAAAATTTGAAAAACATACTAGAACAGTGGATCGGTGTAAGAACGATCTTCATGGTTATGTGCATTTACGTACAAAATCTGAAAGGGATCGGTCCATAATGAGACTTTTGGTACACCTGAATGCATTTAAACTTTTTGGAAATTTCTAACAGCCATTACTGCCGAACCGGATGTTGCGCGCAAAAACGGACTTCACGCCTCTGTATACAAGTCATTTGGCTGTAAAATACCATATAGCAATGGAAAAAAGTGATTGGGAGTGCGCGATAGCGAAAGTTCCCGTGGGTGTACACGAATTTAATGCTATGTACCGGGCCAAATCCCTTAAGTTTCTTATGTTTCTTTGGTTTCTTAGGTTTCTTAGGTTTCTTAGGTTTCTTAGGTTTCTTAGGTGTCTTAGGTGTCTTAGGTGTCTTAGGTTTCTCAGAATACCAAAGAATACCTAGATTACCTAAGAAATGTTAGTAACCTCAGAAACCTAAGAACACCCAACAAACCTAAGAAACCTAAGAAAACCGATGAAGCCTCAGAAACCTAAGAAACCTGGGAAAACATGAAGAAACGTAAGAAGACATGAGAAAGGACTATATCCAAGTCTAAGTCATAGAGTCCGAGTTTCAGAGTCCAAGTGAAGTCCAAGTCCAAGTTTTAGTAGTAAAAGTCCGAGTCCAAGTCCGAGCTTGAGCGCGGGCCTAACCTGAGGGCGAGGGCTATCAGACCCCTTTATTTGTATAGCGTACAAGAAACTTAAACTTGACCACAGATCAACGGCATTCTGTTTACGTGCTGCGGCACTTTCCTTTACATGTACAGAGTTTGCGCGTTGTGGCAAGAAATACTGGGCTATTCCCGCGCGACACCACACATCTGTCTCTCATCGGAAAATTTCACCTGCACCCCGTACGGTGAGCATAATTGTTGCCGGATCGCCATGATGTTGGTGGGGAGACTCACTGGCCGTACCAAGAGTGTTACGATCACCGCCCGCGCCCTCGACTGGACGGCGGAGCTATTTAACTGGCACATCGCACGCTGGTTGCCGGAATTCCTGGAGGTTATGGACATCAAGTTGCCTTTCTTTGTGATGAAATCCTTCTGTCTGACATACATGGTTCCAGAAGTTTTGAATGCCTTCGAGCAGTGCTGTAACCAACTAGTTCTTGATCAATTGACCATGCGTGAAGGGCTTTTCGGGGAGATGCGAGCGGAAGTGCTAACTTATCGGCGGTCTATTCCCTTACCTGACCGCGAAAGACGCTTCGCTACAGCCGAAGCCAGCCTTGTAACCGCGCAGTCGGTTGTGGATGGGACGCTGATCTGCCCGCCCCGATTATTCTGCAAATGGCGGGACGGTTGGGAGCACATCTTCCACAGATTTATGTGGGCCATGGATGGATCGCTCCCTGCGGCCACGGCCCACGTGTACGCCAGAGTGGAGGTTGTGCGCACTCGCTGGCGCAACACGCTGGCCTACCCGGATGAATGGCAGACGGTACGTTTATTACCTGTGGTACAACGGTTATGCAACAGCTTAAAACAACATAATTTTACAACATGAAAATTTCATTTAACTTTTCTGCTCCTTCCATCGTTCCCAAAACTGATGCAGCGTTTCCTCGTTGTATCACTAGTGACAGTCTTTGACGTAGAAATTCATGGGAACGTCTTTCGCCTGTGTGTTGCTCCAGTCGTTTGCCCAATTCTTTAATGATGGCAATGGCTGACGGTCCCCATGGGCCCATTGTTTCGAAAGCAATTGGAGAAAAAATGTATCTGCCGTTTAAGTACGAGTACAACTGAGACTTCTTCTGTTCTGCTTCCACCGCAGCCGCACTTGCGTGAGTTGCTGTTTTCTTGATGTGAGAAGGGGCAACAGTGTCTACGCAAGTGAAATCCCACGCTAAACACAACCCTCTCTGCCAGGCAAAAGTTGTGCATCCGTCAGGGCGTCGTTCAGACGTATGCGACGTGCCACGTGGCTCCAGTTTTGCCGGAATCCCAGCTGAAACACACGCGCGACAAACGATGTCGTTTAATCCACCATGTCGTGGGAGTCTACCAGCAGAGAACGCGCAAGACAGACCATGGTGTCCGTATTTGTCTACATGCTTTTGGCACTTCATGCATTCGTGGGGTTCACATATTGCAATCGTGGGGTTCACATATGGCAGACCATCCGCGGCTTCCTAAAAAGGCAAGTTAATTGCAGTGCTGGCACAGGAAACTGCAATGCGTTGGATATGGTTGACGGTTTTCATCCCCTGCAGGTTCAGTGGATTCAAGCCGGATGGAAGTGCGCAAACGTGGAACGATGTCGACTTGAGAACAGTAGATCTCGGCCAGTTCAGCAAGCTGGCACTGTGGGGAATCTATGAGATATTCAACGTTTAATAATATTCTAGTTATTACACCCGCCATCATCTTCAATACATATTGCGATTGAAAACTTAACCTATGGTTTTGAATGGTATTAACGATTTTGAATGCTGTTTAATGCTTTAAAATTGATCATTCTTTGGTTTTTGATTAGTGCAAATCTTCGCAAGCGCATTGTTTTGCGTATTGGCTGCTGCCCAATAAAGACCATAAAAATTCCTTATGCATAAATAGCAACAGTTTCTACTCCAAAAAGGTCAACGAAAAATGCTCGCGGTCGTGCCGTGTGCGTCTTTCTCATTATATGAGAGGTACTATCATTGACAAATTTTCACTCCGTCTTTTTAAAAGTGTTTGAAGTTTTCTCAAATTAATGGATCTAATTCAGCACTTTCATGCGTTTACAGTACAGGAGAGGTGTTCGTGGAACATAAAATATGATGGACAGGAAAGTGATTTCCATGGATAGAAAGTTTACTCTTAAAGAAATTACTTTCCTGTGCAAGCGAATGGTCTTTTAAGACACGCAAATTGTACTTACGATCGCAGCCGTACACAATCTTCCCTGGACAATGTGTGGCGATGTGCGTGCACTCTGTTTGTACATTTTTGCATGATCTCGGACCTTCATCAAGTTATATACTAAGTTTTAATGGTTATATATGTAAAACTTATTTTACATAATTATACTAAGTTGTACATAAACTAAATTTTACATATCCTAAATTTTTTGAAAAATTTACATTACTTACGTCTAGGTAAGCATACTTGTACTGTTGTACAAGTAAACAACTGCCTATCCCGTGTTGTTGTCCAGTTGTCCTTAAAGGCACACGCACGTCTTGTGCAGCGCGGTACACGGAAACCGAAAGGATAAACTCTTCTTGTGAACATTTCGCTTTGGCTGCCTTAGGTTAAAAAGCCCTAGGTGTTCAAATAAACACCGCATGACGATGTTGACAAGTAACACCGGGATTGACCTTTACACGCTGGATCAGTTAAGATGCTAGTCCGAAGATTAACACATAATGCTGGGATCACCTAGGAGTTTTTACGGCCCTGCGGATGATCAAAATCAACTACATAATATTTATATTTGCCAAGACGTCGTTTATCGATATCAGTTTTTTTACGCCGCAGGTTACTGTCGAATGTTTCTTGTTGCTACCTTAATTAAGGTCATTCATCACCATAAACCATCAGCAGCCTGAAATATCTTTTGCAGTTCGTGCAATAAGGGAGACACTCATACTGGCCGCCCGGGCTTTTATTTGCTGTTATTTGCTGCCGCCTATCTCGGAAGCAGTGTTGTCGTGTTCCCGTCCCGGGTTAAATGTTATGTTTGAGACGGAGGATCATGTTCGCGTTCTGGCAAAGCCTGGCGCAACATAACCTGACTGCATCAAGAGCGGGCCGCTCTTCATGCTGGCGTGCGATGCGGCGAACATGGCCGCGTGATCGTGAGGACACCGGCCGGTTAGCAACACCGACTAACCCGCCGCAGCAACCGCCAACATTACTGCTTTGTCTAATTTAGCTTTGAACGCACTATTTACTTTTATTCGGCCTCAGCCAGAATAAATAAAAATTCGCCTGCGCAGGTTTCAATTAATTAAAGAATCAAATTTTTAAACAATAAAAAATGTGGTATATATACGTACAGCAGTGGGCTGTACAATGTCGCTGTACATACTCTGTTACCTAGCAACCGATGTACAAGTGCTTATTGCCTTACGCAATTATTGTTATTTTGACCACTCCGTACAAACTTTTATATATATTTATGTATATTATACTTAAATACTTGGAATCTATATTACTATAGAAAAGCAAAACTACAAAAAATAGTACTTTTTTGCCAGATCATGGGGACCGTTCCGATGAAGACTTCCTGGTGTATGACAGCGTCGGCAAATTACTCATGTGGCAAGCGAAGATTGAATTATACAAGTGTTACGAAGCAGATCTTGCGGAGATTGGGGTGAAAAACTTTGCTGTTCAAAATCAAAAAAAAACGGTCGAGATTGCGCGTTTTACGCGTTGGCATTCGCGTCAGAGATTGCCCTGTATGGAAAAGACCCCGCGGCAACTTTTTACACAGGGAGAGACCTACGAAACTGGGTCGAAAACTCCTTCAAAAGCGCCGCTGTCCAAACCCTGCGAAGAAAAACTGACGCAAGGGCGCCAAGAACTATTCTCTCACGGGAATTCGAGTTTGTAACTGCTGTCAATGGTCTTTGAAATACCTATGCAGCAATAACAGCTGTTAACGAAAAAGCGGCTGTTCCAGAACTAACTTTCCTGTGAAAAAATTTAAAAAAATTAAAAGGTTGTGTGCGGAATGAAAGGTAGCGCAAAAAGGTTGCGCACGGAATGAAATGGAGTGCAAAAGGTTGTGTACGGAGTGAAAGGGTGTGAAAGGGTGTGGACGGAGTGGTCACCTATTGTTATTAGTTAATTTCGTACTAGCCGCGAGATGGTTAATAAAATCTATTAACCGCTAAGTATGCCACAAAAAAAACATCCAAAATCGTTAGTGTCTCGCATGATCCTAGAAAGTGCGTTAAGGTCACCAAAAACAGCCGTTGCATTTCCACGGACTACCGCTAGACTGAAACGTTGTCTTAAAAAGGCGGTAGTTCGAGGTTTCCCGGTAACTTCACAAATCCTTCTGCCGAAGAAACGGATCAGCTCGGCGAAAGGTGTTCCGAAGGTTTCGAACGTCTCGACTGCCAGTGGACAAAATAGGTACCCCAGATTTTCGACTACTTCGTACTTCGCACGCTAACTTGCTGAGCCAACCGTGCTATGCTTCCCGCTTTCTTCGAGCTGGCATGCACATGGGACACACGCCACAATATCCTAGCTTGTCGCATCCCATACAAGGGCTTCACCATCCCGCACAGGAATCAAGGTCATGCCATCTGGCCGCTTGTTATCGCGTGCAGACAACCCAGACGCTTCACTTTGCCTGGGATAGCCCGCAAGTTCCAAACTTCGCTTGGTCTCGTTGTTTAGTTCGACGTGCCAGTACCATCTATCTTTACTGCTTGCACAGGACAAACCATGGTGGCCGTTAGTTCCCACTCTGCTTCCGCAGTTTACGCACTCGTGTTAGTCCACCACGTGAATACCAAATCGAAGGGCGACACCGATTCTTCCTTCCTCGTCCCGGAGGACAGTACGCCGATTTGGTGTTGGGAGAGCATTCAAGCAAGCGCCGAGTCGCGTTGAAAAGCGGCCAGCAGTACTGCTTTAACTGTTTCGCTTGTGGCAGCTGCGGTCAGTGAGGATACGATGCAGTCTATCGTTGGTCGATCCGATGTCCACTGGAACTTCCTGCTCTCTTCAGTCGGAGCTTCGTATGTTGTCCGTTCCGACCACGGCTGTATAAGGGGATCCAGGAGAACTGCCGTTTGAACGCAATGAACGGAGTAGACTAAGTAACAACCAGGTGGTAAAAGGGTCCCTCCCGCGAATTTATTCTCGGTCTAGGACTATTCTTAAGTTACATATAATAGTGCTACAGCATATTCTTGGTATTCTTAGCGTTCCTCGCACACGTATTCTTGGTCTGCTTTCTTTAAATTGGCTACAGTGGACACAACCCTTGCACCGTTATCGTGGTCGTCACTTGTGACTCACAGGCAGGAGTAAGAAATAACCCAACGTTGTCAACGGCAACAGTTCACTGCAAATCCGTACACTTTTTCGGCACAGCATTTCCTCACTTTTCCCGTATTTTCCAGTGACGAGTATGTACTGACTGCAGTCACTGCACCTTGCATTCGGAGAACTTTTGTACAGTATGTGCAGTATGGCCCTATAGCCCGTTGAAAATGAAGCGTGCCGCACTAATATAATAATTACGTTAAGCGGGAAACTACAATAATTATGTTATACGAGCTTCTACACGTATTGGCTAATGTTACTCTGGTTCAGCATTCTGAGGGACCTCGCCCAACCGTGCATATTCCCTTCATATTGCACCACAACGCGAATATACTGGTACAGGCGGTTACACTTTTGAAAAGCGCTGAGCAAGCATTTTCGAAGTTTTTGCAACTAAACAATCTAATCAGAAGCGTAGCATAACTATTAGGTACAGCGTTGTAGGCATTAACTAGAAACATTAGGTTACTTCTAAATCGGTCCAATCTGGAAACTACAAAGGTTGTTCACTTGGCACGGCTGACCTTTCGTTGTCCTCCCCCTCCCCGCGGCGGTTTCGCAAGGATGAATGTGGAGGAGGCGGGCATTGTGGAAATTCCGAATTCCTGTTCCCGGTATTACGACGGCATCTAATTGATAGCACAGCTTGTCTGAACACAGTAGCAGTCCGGGCGGAGAATGATGGGACCCGTGCTCAAGCTCGGACTTGGACTACTAAAACTTGGACTCGGACCACACTTGGACTTCTTAACTTGGACTTCTGAATTGGACTTCTTAACTTGGACTTTTACAACTAGGACTTCTAAACTTGGGCTTGAACCCTTCAACTTGGACTTTTCTTAGGTTTCTTAGATTTCATTGATTTCTGAGGTTTCTTAGGTTTCTTAGGTTTCTTAGGTTTCCTAGGTTTCTTAGGTTTCTTAGGTTTCTTAGGTTTCTTAGGTTTCTTAGGTTCTTTAGGTTCTTTAGCTTTCTTAAGTTTCTAAGGTTTCTGAGGCATACTAGTTTTTTTATAAGGAAAAGTCCAAGTCCAGATGAAGAAGTCCAATTTAGATGTCCAAGTTTGGAAGTTCAAGTCAAAGTTGTGAAGTCCAAGTGTGGTCCAAGTCCAAGTTTTAGGAGTCCAAGTCCGAGTCCGAGCTTGGGCGCGGGCCGACTGGTGGTGCTGGTGCATCGCTGCTGAGGAAAAATAGTGACACGTATTAGAGCAGGAAACGGTACCCAGTGCAGCCGGTGAACCCACAGCACCATCAGACGGATCAAGCGACCTCGACTTAGAGCCTCGAGGGTTTGTGTTCATTGAGTGAATATCAAATAAGGCTACCTATATTAATATTAATATCAGACGCCGGTGCAACACTTACAGAGTATATCTGTGGCCTGTGCGTATTATACTAACAGCGCTGCTGATCATAATTCCGCGACGCCAGTCAGTGCTGTCGTTATCACAACCCATGGCCGTATATATAATGGGAAAGATGTCTTCGGCTGTGGCTCATTGAAAGAATAAATATTTTTTAGTGTTTCTCACTGTCGAAACACTTCTAACCTTTTGCATGCTCTCTGATGCTGATGTTTTCGTGTATAACGACAAGACGTGGCAGTGTCGCCAGAGTTCATCTGCTCAGTAAATTTTTTTTCGCCTAAACCACCAAATTTTTTCGACGCCACCCACGACGGCGCCTGTATCCACTTTTGCGGTACAAGGATATTGTAGTGTGGTGGCTACGCGCAATAGTTGCCTCGTTTGGACCAGCACACACAACCCGAGCCCAGAAGTACTCTCTAATTGCTGCTGTTCCAACTCTCCAGTCTGTCTTCCATGCTCGCGGTGGTCAACCAATCCATCAATGTTGGCGAGCAGTACGGTTGACGGAAACACTTAAAGAAATGCAACTGGTCCCTTGTTTGTCAAAAACCGATTTCGCCCTGGCAAATAGAATTTCTTGTTTCGTACAAAAAGAATCCCGCTGGTTTTCATCAAAAGAGGCGGTTCATCGACCGGCAACCGGCTTTTGATTTGACAGCGATCCACGGCTGCAAGTGTCACCTTGTCCGTTCCCGGCAATTTTGTGGAGAGAGTAAGAATATTTGGCAGTCTTGAAGAAAACACAGCCGAGTGGCGGGGCGAAAGCGAAACGATCCGTCGCGTTCATCGCGGAGACCCATGAATGCTGGCATGTTGCGGCTCTGGTCACGGTTTTAGTGCAGCAAAGATGTGTAGCGGACAACTTGCGAAGCGTGAACGTACCGTGCAGGCGCCGTGGAGGTATACATTAAAACGAATAAACTCGAACTGCTTTTGCAGCGCTTCCAGGGAGCAATCGACTGTTCAGGTTGGAAAAGGATGCGAGGTCACGGAGCAGCTACGATTATGATTACCAGAATCGAGAAACACCAGTTTACTGTGCGGCCAGATCGAAGGCCTAATTTATTGGGACGCGTCCGGCACGAACGGAAGAACGTATGAACAAAACTAAAATCAGGTTTAGAAATAGAATGAGCAGCTTCGGATAAATTTGTCTAGTCATGCTACGAACATGGTGAGCTGTTCAGAACAGGGGCGGCACATGGTGAACCGCTTGGACAATACCCACCCGCTTTAATAAAGGTATTACAAAGGTCACCGGCTTAATGCATCTGTCTGTAGAAGCTCAATTCATGTGAATAAATTAAGGCGGCAAGCGTGGCAGTGATGCCAGTTGCTTTATTAGGGGTATTGCGGCGTTGAGTGTGAAGGCCAGCGGCATTAATCAGCGGTTGAAAACAGTGCGGGGGGAATTTGCGCCGCAACACACCCGTTAAATGTGCAAGCACCAGACGGACAACGTTAAATGTCCACACGCGTCATCAGCCGGCCGACCCTGGCTGACCGGTAATTGTGTAGGAATGGATTAAATTTTATGTGGATTTCATTTTGTCGCTGATGTAAGTGTAATCCTGCACGAGGTTCAGGGTAGATGAGCGCCTATGCTAATCTGTTCCGTAATTCTGTCGTTAAAGGTGGATTTAATTCTACCGTGAATTTTTTTGATAAATAAATTCGATTAACAAATATGTCGATTTTTACAGTAATAGTAGTTAGGTTTTTATGCGATATCCATATTTGACGCGCATCAGCCATGCCAACTGCACTTAATGCATAGGAAGTGTGGCGTGGCGGGCCGTGGTCTGGAGCTTAAGATAAGTTCGCAGCCATGAATCTGTACAGATAAATTTCCGCAAGGAGTTAATATCCGGACCGGACCTAATTGCCCAGCTTGCCCCGTAATGTCTATCGCAACAACACGCCGGCCAATGCAAATTAATTAGTTACGTCAATTTCCACACCACGGCACGCCACGTCACAGTTCTTACGCTCAACATGCATTTGGCTTAGCGGGTGCGTGTCAAATATCCATCTTATAACTATCTTCTTAAGTACAAAATAATAAATAATGGCATGGGCGTATTCGGTGCGAACCCAAGATGACCTGATGCCCTCAATAAACTAAACCTACAATGAGGACAAAAGCGCAGCATTCTGTCTGTGCGCCTTGCATGTACATGCGCCTGCCGCTGCACCGTAAGCGATCCGGGGATTTACGATCTGATCGGAGATTCTTTGCGTGGCAATGAAAATCATGGGTGTGGCTTGTGCACACCCAGCCTTACAGCGAGCGAGACCGCTGCGGCTGTGTGCAATCACATACATTACATTCATATTAATTTTAAAATCTCAGTTTGGGCTAAAAGTTTCCGATCAGACTGTAGAATCCGATAATTAATAATTAGAAAGTGTTCCATTGGGAAATTGTAGCCGAACGAGAGAACTGTGATTTCCTACCAGTGAATTTGTTGACGTTCTTCCCTCTGACCCAGTTTTATCGTCCTAAATACTTAAAGTAAGTGCTACTATCGACCTCGGGACATTTTTTACAGCAAATTTGTCCACAGGATAATTTTCAGCGCATTTTTCTGATACAGAAACTATTTTTTTAAACATTTTTTGGCAGAAAAAATTTCTGACTGCCGGGGTCCCGTACGCCCCAACTTCCTTTGGCGGTTGCAATGGCGCCACAAATAAATATTTGATTTTTGCGCCTTACACACTTTTTTTTGGATGAATTGATATCGCTGAATCTGAAAATGTTGTCAGAAAGCTGTATCAGTTATAGGAAGGAAAATTTTTGTGTTTTAAATTTTTTGTGAGAGTTTGCAAAATTTTATTTTTTTCGAAAAATTTTCCTTTGATTCCGCTCAAACGGACTATCTGAAAACGTATTTAGATTCAGCGATATCAATTCATCCAAAAAAAGGGTTTAAAATGCAAAAATAAAATTTTTGTTAGTGGCGCCATTGCAACCGCTCCAGGTAATTGGGGGCGCACGGGGCCCCGGCAGTCAGAACTTTCTTTTCCAAAAAAATGTCTGAAAAATAGTATCTATATCAGAAAAATGCCCTGAAAATTATCCCGAAGTCAGATTTGCTCTAAAACAAATATCCCGAGGTCGATAAGGGACTCGTGCAGTCACTGTCAGTAACAGTAATTTCTGTGCAGTCTTAGGAGAATGAGTCATCTTCTCGTCTTGGCTGTCTGCTTGGCCAGCTGCATCCCGGGCAGTCTCGCCTGCGCCCAGAAGCCGAAGGGAGCCGTTGATACAAGTGAGTCACTGTACAGTTTCGGCAGGTCCTGCATGGCAGGATCGGGTGCCTGTTATTTGCGACCTATTTCTTAAAATAACCTATTCTTTTGATCATGTTTGTTGCGCGAAGCTCGCCTTGTGCATATTGAGAAATTAAATTAACCTATTTCTTAAAAGAGGTATTTTCGGTTTATTAAATTTTATGAATATTCAGGAACAAGAATATAAAATATAACCACAGAAAAATCAGGGACTTGGAGATCGGAAAAATAAGAAAATTTTGGATAAAACGGTAAGCGCCATTAGATTCAGCATGTTCCAAACTGTGTCACATCCAATTTATTTCTTTAAAAATTTATTTTTACCCGTACCACCGACGCCGGTTTCGGCAAAGCTGTACCCGGTACAGCTTTCAAGGTAACCTTGAAAATATAACACTCCAAAGTCCAAGCCGGCCAGTAGGCTAAAGTAACTTCTGACCGTGAGAGGGGACTGTCTGCCCACGGCGCATGCAAACTGGCGAGTAACGTTGAAGAAATCGTTTACCAAAAGTGATCTTCCGTCGCAGCCGGCCTTTCGATACTGTAATTACACTGTTACGGTCAGTAAGCCTGCAGCTAAGCCACTTGATTAATCTGATAGTAATATTTTGCCGAACTCTAATACGAAAAACCGACCAAGTTTCATTATCTACAGTAAAAAAGATTTCTTAAAAGGGTTGACCTTTCCATATCCTTAAAATATTCAAGCATCGCCCTACTCAAGGGTCTTCACTGTATTGTATATGTGCAGTGAAGATAAAGGGCAAGCAAGACATGATAAAAGGTTCGCTGTGCGTGCAAATGGAAGGAGTGTGTTGTTAAAATAATAAAAGTCTACAAGACAAAACTCCTTTCAGGACTTTATATAGGCTTGTTACTTGTACTACTTCGACGTGTTTTTCATAAAACTTCTCGGTAGTAAGAATTCTGCAGTCGTTTAAAGATATTAGCCAAATGCCCAGCTGAATGCATATGGGCATATGATCCCTTCAATCGGGCTACTGGTACAGAATGCAACCGTCTGCGCACACTATATTTAATATTACCTAACGCTGATACTTGGCACAGAGAACCTCGCGCATTTTATGTACTAGTACATGAAAGGCTGTGAACAGTACATGTTGTACAGTTGTAGTTATTATACTGGGTTACAAGATTATACTGGATTTATTATACTGGGTTACAAAATTCCATTTAAAACTTAGCGTCAGTTTTTAACACTGAATAATTCCGGAAGCATTTGCGTAACCACCGTTGTTCCGCTACACTTCTGTTATGGATAATGGATAATCTGGATCACTTCAGTTTTGTTTGATTTGGAACGGGGATATTCAGGTTATTTTGGAACCACATTTGCTGGCGGATCGTTCAACATTACTGACAGGTGCGTAACATTAAACAACAACAACCGTAGCAATCATCAACCGTTATAAGCATTTGAGGTGTTACTGATATGAATTCAGCACAATACACTAATTTTTAATTTTTATGAACGTATATTATTTTTCATGAACACATTCGAATAACAGATTTTCGATTAAGCGAGATATGGCACTCTAAAATGGCGAACTGTAGTTGAAATTCATTGTAGTTCGCCATATCTCGGCAGCCGGATGTTGCGCGCGGACAGTGATGAATCTAGGCGGGTTTCGACGGGAGGGATAGAGAACTCATACTAAAGGCGGGAGTATTCTCTTGGGGGGGCATTAAAGTCTGAAAAAATTAAACTTTTTTTAAAGTGTTACTCGTTTTAATCAGCACTTGGCCAGTCCCGAAACGGATTAATAAATATTTCATATTCTGACTACGTGATCGGAGCAGTGCATGGAGCAGGTTACCTGATTAATGCATTGCTGAACATGTAAACCGAGCCGTTTTCGAAACAACTAGCCGAATAAAGCAATCGCAAGGTACGGCTGTGTAGCTGCGATTATAAGAGCCGCGTCAATAAAAGGATTATCCAAAGCATCCGACCTTTCATTACGGTCCAGTGGTGGTCAAACCTGCTAGGTCACTTGATTGATCTAATAATCGATCTAAATATTTTGCCGAAATTTAATAAGTCTTTTTTCTACAGTGAACACAATTTGTAAAAGAGCTGACCTTTCCTTGATGTTTCAAAGCGTTCACAAGTTTTAAGTGAAGCCTCATATACAGGTAACGCTTGCAAGGCTCAATGCGCATTGTGTGAAGTTTGATTTGGGAACATTAGAGTTCGGACAAGGATTACGTTAATTCTGAAAAATGTGCGTTAATTTTAAGTTTTTTTAAAAAGCGGACGGCCCGCTCTGGCTCTACATTTTCCTGCCCGCTCCCGCCTCGAGCAGGGAATTTCCCGCTAGCGCTTACCGTAAAAAAGCGGGTGCTGGTGTGGGCAGTTTTCCGTGTTTTACGAGTTCTGGGTGAAATGAGACTATGAAAAGAAAAATGTGTGCCAAAACTCTCATTATGGACAACTCCTTTCGAATTTTGTTAAAAAATGCACATAGGCATAAAGATCGTTTTGACACGGAACCGGAATTCGGCATTTGCTTCCATTTTTTAATCAAATTTTTAACTTATTTAAATTAAAATGGTTAAAACATGATGGACACCCAGTTTGGGGTCAGAACGTTCTTTCTGCTTCTACGAATTTACTTTAAAAAAACACTTAAAAGTGACGCCGCATCCTGCGGCCTTGCGAAGGAAATGGATGGTTTAGAGTAGCGTGGTTACATAATAATACTTTACTGAAAAATTTTTTGTACAGTTGTTGAATTTTATTACTGAGAAGTTCGATTGAGTGCACGGCTATTTGAACGAGCTGGTCTGGCAACCACCTCGCGTACGCGCATACGTGTAGTAGTCTGGACTCTGGGTAGTTGATTTCGACTGCCACTTGATCTCCAAAACTTGCAGCATCAGTTTTTCGCTGCGACTTTAACAAAACTTCCCAGTCAATGTTTCAGAACACTGAACGAAAATTTCAGAAACTTTTTGGTATCTTGGAAGTAGGTCTTTATGGCGAATCAAAAAAGTTATGTTTGTTTTCGGTTTCTCGTAGACATACCATGGGTCCGTGCGATGTAGGCGATGCTTGCACCCTATGCTTTGTCTATGAGAAACCAAAACAAGCATAACTTTCTTGATTCGCCATAAATAACTGCTCATCAGAGATCAAAAAGCTTATTAATTTTTTTTCTATCTTCTGAGATGTTGTTTAGAAAGTTTTAAGGAAAGGTAAACGAAAAACTAGTGCTTGAAACTTTGGATCAACTGACAATGACATTCAGTGCAGTCTTTCACTGTTCACATACATGCTCCTCCTCTGACTGTACATCTCTGTCTATCCTGAGTTACAGCATTATGCCTATCCTGAGTTTGCACTCACAGAATCTCTCTATTGTCAGTTAAATTTCTTTCTGTCCTAAGTTACCTGCTTACAAGTTATAATATCACACGGCATGACTCCATAGGTTAAAGCTGTATTATCATTATTACATAATAATTATAATATAGCTTTAGAAAATATCTAGCGTTATTTCCTTCGCAAATTTGAAGACTGTCGTGTAGAAGTAAGACGTTGCACAATACCGACCACAACACAATCGGTTGACAATCTTTTCTCAAACTGCTCTGAATAAGAATGGCCTATCTAACTACGGAGAAGATCAGGAACAAGTCCAGAACCGCTGGAACTCAGGAATCCCTGCTGCTAACACGAGAAATACATAAATGCGAGTATACTTACCTGCCTTCACGCTAGATGTTAGCAGAAGCGATAAGTATAAGATCCATCAACAGGGCGATACTGGAAATGAAGAACGTAGGGACCAAATGGTCAAGGGATAAGTGGGAGCTAAAGGTCACCGTATTACACTTCGAGACTATCACTGATTAGGAGAACCCAAGGCATAGGCAGAAAAGGTCACCAGGAGGTCTTATAGCTAAATCCTCACTCGGAAGAGAACACCAGAGCAAAACCGTAAGGTTAATCACATCAAGAGCAAGTCCCTAGTTTTGTTGAGCTAAAGGTCACTTCGAGACTATCACTGATTAGGAGAACCCAAGGCATAGGCAGAAAAGGTCACCAGGAGGTCTTATAGCTTAATCCTCACTCGGAAGAGAACACCAGAGCAAAACCGTAAGGTTAATCACATCAAGAGCAAGTCCCTAGTTTTGTTGAAATAACAACTCTTGATGCTGCACTGGGCGCCGTTGCACTTAAATTGCTTCTTGTCATACGCAGATGCCTCGTATGTCGTACACGCACGTACCAAGAACAATAGGGATTTAGAAACCAGCACCTGAACTACAAGAGCTGTACACGTAGACGAACCAAAACCAGAGGTCGCGTCGTACTCGCGAACATTAGGTGAAGCCGCTCGTTTGAGTCGCGGTCGGTAGACCAGTGCAAGGGTACACCAGTACACGTCAAGACTTTTGGCAAGTGCGCGTTCTTGCGCTTAAACTTTTTGGAATTTCCATTTACCCACAACTTCCCAACTGGAAGTTGCGCGCACAAACGGGTTCCACAAAAAGTGTCTGGGAGTGCGCGACAGCGTGCGTTTTTTGTGTACTCTGTATGTACACCAATCTTGTAGCGCGTTTCGGGTCACTTCCCTTAACTTAAGGAGCATGCAGCTGTTACCTGTTGCGCTTACTAATGTTTATTCTTCCTCTTCTCCCTATAGTCAACAAAATTCTGGACGAGGCCAAGGAACGCGGCGGCGCCGACACCATGTGTCTTCAGGGATATGGGCGTGGTCCAGGCTTCCGGAGGTTCCCCTTGCCAGTGTTGCCGCCGCAGATGCAGATCATCCGAGCGCCCGAGGGCGGCACACTGCTGGTGTACTGCAACAACACGAACGGCGCGCAGGTACAGTATGACGACTGCCACCGCGATCAGTAGAAGTAGTCTTTTGGTAGTAGTAGATCAATTTTCTAGCAGGAAAATTATTTCTTTCCTGCCGGTCTTTCAATTCGATTGCCGCCAGCCGTCTCATGTTAATCCTAGGACTGCAAACTTTCTTTGCTCTAATCATCTTAATAGCGAATATCGCTATCACAAATGTTAAATTAATGCTTGTCTCAACTGACAGCATTCACAGGTTCCCCAAGCAGAGGTTCCACCGGCATTCACGTACAACGGAAGGCTGGTTTCTCTGGCCAATCCCACACTAGCCTGGATAGAGTCGGAGGAACTTCACTGTTGTAACGGCACGACGAAAACCAGTCACGGTGACATCGTTGCCCGCCCACGCTTTACCCAGAACAGTTGGCGGGCAAGCGAGTACCAGCGGGCCACCGGTGCGTTCAGCATCGTCCTGGAGCACTTCAATGACGGGCACAGCGGTGTGTACGAGTGCCTGCACTCCAACGGCAGCCAACTGGTGGTGACGCAGCGTTATTACGTCAGCGCCATCCGCACCGCCCTCAACCGCCACAACGTCTTCGATCCACCGATGAAGAACCTCACCGTCCGCTACGGTCGCTACGCGGAGATGGTCTGCGCCGTCCGCTTCAATTTCCTCCCCGGTTCCCTGAACACCCGCTTTCTATGGCGCAACGGAGGCCACCTGCTGATGACTGACTCCATGCCGCAGGTGGCCGGTAAGACCTCGGCGTGGAGGGCTTCAACGGGCACTTTCATGTCGGCTTTAATGGTAAGGTGCGGCGCTGCCATTCCACGCTGGCGATCAACAGCGTCACGTGGCAGGATGCCGGGCTGTACGAGTGCTGGTTCCGCATCAACGACCGTCTGGACGAGTGGATCATGCAGGAAGCATACCTGCACGTCATTTAAGCAGCGCCGCGGTTGGCAGTGGTCAGTAAAAGTGCGAAATTTATTGTTCGATCTCGTCGTAGCAAAAGTGAAGTGAACTATTTTCTATGCAAAAACACGGAAACACGGCAAAGATGATATTATTAAATCCTTGACGTACACTTTTTGAACACCGAGTCCTCAGCATCTACCGCGCCGAAGCACAAGCTCAGTACAGTTTACGCCAGCCCCATAATCCACTTCAAAACAGAAAACCAATGCAATGTATCGTAATCACTGCCAAGGACATCTGATTACTAGCACGTCTTCACAAAAAACCCCTTTACTCGGCGAGGGTTAAAATGGCTGGACGAAAACCTGTGGCTATTCCAGAGAAAATATGACTGAAACTTCCATGGATATAGCCGTATAATTGTACACGGATTGTGCTGCTTTTTCACAGGACTGCGTACACTGGCGATAGGATTAGAATTCCTGTGTTAGGACTACTGTGTTCGACATCCTTGTACTTTTTTGTCGCTGCAAGCTAATAACCTTTCATACGATTTTGCGTTTTTGTTGACCACCCGGAGTGCTGATCAGGAGAAGTGCTTTTTGTCAGTGTTGTGTTCAAACTGACAAAAAACTTGATCCAATTACATAATAAAGAGCAACTGTCGAAATTGCACCTGCCCATGTATTAGTCGCCGTTCATGGGCAATGATGTTGGCACGCAACACATGTTTTGACGGAATGCGGTCCCCTTCAGTTCAACTGCAAGAACCCGTGTTAGCCGTTTTTGGATAGCGCTGTAAATTGTACCTTGGTGCTTTATCTCCGGTTTAATTACTCATCCACTAATTAGTCAGCCAGCAAGGTTAACGAGAGTTGGAAAGTCCGAAATCAGTCGATTTTCGCACGGTTCGTTTGTAATTAACCTAAGATGCAAGTTTGAATTATGTTTTTACTGGTGCTTTAAGGGAAGTGGGCCGGTACATCGTACCAAAATCGTGTGCATGCACGAAAACTTACACTTTCGCGCACTCTCAAACACAATTTTGTTTCGGTTTACGACATTCTGTTGCCAGAAGATTTGTATACGCTGGCGTGAAAATCGTCAGTATCGGGGTCATTAAATAAAATATTGTCGGAGATGATGTTCTCGCTTCGCGTAGATCCGTAGACTTAGCTGTGTCACAATGAGATATTAGCTCATACTCTGTCGTTGAGTTAGGCCGGTAGGATAGATTATTACGGTAATTATACCTATCGTACTGATCTCTCCGTCACGGGTTAATGCAGTACCATAACCGTATAAAGTAACGAGCAGGTGTGTGCTCAACTAGATTGTCCTTAATGATTGGTTTTATGTGGTTCATATTCATTCATGCGTTCAGCACGACGCTGCCAGCAAAGGTCCATGAATGCAATGCATGCGGCTTCGCCGCTGTCAGTGTGGTAAGTTTTCTGCGTGGGCCTCAATCTGATCTTGGTATAAAGGATCTCTGTTCGCGGGATCGAGGCTATGGGATTACTTTATGGTCACATTCAGGGTCAGTTCCGTTTTGATATGGGAATGCTCTGTACTACCTGTATCTGTAGGTTTGTACATGCTAAGTAATTCAGACGAGAAGGTTGAAGGTACAACGCGACTATTTTATTTTTATGCCATAAAAATAAAATAGTCGCGTTGTACCGACAGATTTCTTATTGCAAAAGTCGTGCATTTTGTTAGGTAGCACGTTAGTTCTCTGGCAACCGTTTTGCTTTCCGAAAATTCACTGACCGACATACTGTCTTGGCGGCCAATACAATATGTCGGTATGTATTGCTGATTCACGCAGCCTGCGGACCGACAGATTATCGACCGACAAATCGCTTTTCGACAACTCTGATGCCATACGTTTTGCTGAAACAATTTTGCTGTCGGACAGCTTGCTTATCGAGTTATCGGTGTGATTCGGAAGTTTCTTAGCTTTTTAGGTGCATTTCCTAGGGTGTAGTAGCCTACCTTCGTTTTTTTATGTTTTCTTTTGGTCCCTTGAGTTTCTTGAATTGGTCATCCTCTAATGTTTTCCTTTTCCTATACATCCTCATGTTTCCTTATAATTTTTTATGCTTTCTTGTGATTTCTCAGATTTTTCTGATGCTTCTTAAGTTATTTCTATGTTTTCTTATATTTTGTCTAATATTTAAATTAATATGGTTGGTCATAATATTATATTTTACTGTGCTTTTTCAGGTTATATAGCAGAGTGACGTCAGCAAATTGTCGAGGTTCAGCAAACTGTCGTTCAGCACCTTGTGGACCTTTAAGCGAGTTGGCGTTTTAAGAATTTGTCAGGTAAACATTTTGTCAGTCAGCAGAAAGTGGTCAGCAAGTTATTGGTCAGCCAGATAGCGGTCAGGAGAATGTCGGTGTGCCATCTGGGTGCATTATTGCACCCCCGCTAGAGGGGCTGTCAGCACAGCAGCATGGTACTCCTAGCCTCCTATTATTGTCTGGTGTATCAAAAGTGTTGGCAGTAATGTGATTACCGAAGTATTGATGGATTTATCTTGGCTAACTAATAAAAAGCGGTGATTCCTGGCCAATATTGGCATTTGGACAACTTTTGACTGGCTGTGAGTCAACGGTGCGATGTACGGAAGCGGTGGGGATGGACACGGATTGCTTCTTGACCGGGATATTGACGATGATCACTTTCTGGTCGGCTTTCATTTCTCCCCATCCCCTGCATGCTACGTCTATGGTTCGCAAGCGTCGCAACGCTTGCGAACCATGGACGTAGCATGCAAGGGCTTGCGTTCTGGTCCCGCCATTTGTTTTAATCCTGGGCATCACAGCCGTCTGCTGTAATCGTCGCGGTGAGCGACGAATACGTGCATGCTGAAACAACATGTCGGTATTCGTGGCGCTCCGCGACGTTTACCGCGGCCCGTTTCGTTTTCCGCCACAGTGCTGCGGTTCGTTCCCGAATGCAGAAAGTGTATTTTATCTTGACAAATTTGTCTGGAATGCAACAAGCATCCGGCATTGCATTGATCGGTGGGCCATCACTGCTGGCAAAGCATAGCGGCATTCTGCACGATGACCAGCACCAAGCAAATTTCGCCGATTTCACAAAGAGTCTTTCATGCTCGCTGTACAGTGTGCAGCAAGCATGAAACCTCCGTTGGCGAAAAAGTGTAAATGCTGTATTGCAAGTATCACACTGTGTTTGTGTCAGTTGTATAAGAAATTTTACACTAACCTTTATTGCTAAAAAAATTTGCATTGGGTGTCAGTTATTCAGAAGCGCCTGGTCGCTGGAAAACGGTCGACGCAGCCGAATCCACCGTTTTGTCATGCACCAGCGATCGACAGAAGAAGGATCTGCGAAAACAGTAAGATCGGATGATCTTCCTCGGATCCTTCGCAGGCTGCACCAGATGGAAATTAACCACACTTTCCGCCCAGACCGCCGCGCTCCTGTCCCCGATGGTGTCCCGGTGTGATCGCTCGATGTGGAACTGCTGGATAATAACTAGGATCATTATGGTGTGTCATGTGAGAAACATGATGTGATCATCTTGTAATCACCGGTACACGATCTAGACTATAGGTCTATGACCGACGCTTATGCGACCCGGAATACCCGCTGGGTATTCACGCCTACGGTCATCTATCTATATAAGCTATACTCTGCTGTACCATCTGTATCTCATGAGATTGTACCCTCTCAAAATATGTATGCATGCCTAGCATTGTACAGATACCATCCGCGTACAGTCATCATGTACTATCAGTAACGATAGCACGGATAAAGATATTTCAAGTATACTGTACTCTATTTAAGTTGTTTATAAGTTTATTGGGAGCGATTGATAAATAGTTTTATCATGAGCGATATTACCAGTTTTATCATTCATTATTGTAAACTTTCGCAGACGCATTAATACGCTACAACAGCATGTGTACGTGATAACACACTAACAGCACATATCTATAACCCAGTAAGTCTCGTTTCTTAGGTTTCTTTGGTTTTCTTATATAAATAACAAGGTTATATGATTATTATCTTATATAGTTACCGAAGTTATAATAAACGACTACACGAAACCTATATGGTCGTACATGTACCACACAAATGGTGATGCGAGGTGGTGGCAAAAGCCGCTATAGACAATTATTATTAATGGTCACAAAATAATTTCAGAACATATTAGGAAGAAATTTTAGAAACGGCAAAATGTCGACGGTAATTTATTTTGGACGGTTAAGTAACGGTAAAGGTTTTTCGAACGGCGTTTTTCAACGGTAAACTGAGACGGCAAAGGTATTCACAGCGTCTAAGGCAAAGGTAAAGGTAAACTTGAAAAAAGATAAATAGAAAAGGCAAAGTTCGGCAAAGGTAAAGTACGCCGACCGAACTGGCAGCGTTTCTTTCAGATCACGATATCGAATAGCTGGATGCAAATCAAATCATGCTTAATCTTGTCTTGAAGGACAGCAAGATACTTTTACTGTCAAATATGGTCAGATCTTGAATATCCTTCTGCTTCATACGTAAGTCGTGTCACGAGTAGACTGGTAGAATTACAATCTGTATGGACGTGGTTTCCAACGGAAGGAAGTGCCCGAAAAGTATCAGCCAGTTAGCAATGTGTTAAGTGAACTATGATCTAGTGTTCGAAAACAGAGCAAGAATTAACTTATTGAATAGTATATTCAAGAACAAAATACAGTACTTCTTCCCCGTTAAATTGTTGGCCACTCTATTGTTCGGTACACAACCTTTCATTCCGTGCACAGCCTTATCCGGCACTGCCTTTAAACCCGCTGACTGCCTGTCCTGGGCATTGCGAAACGAATTTACTTTTGCTGTTTTACATACATTTCCGCCACAGGTGTTCGTTCTAAAATTACTGCAGTGTAAACGATGCTGCTACTTCCACTGTTGCGCCAGAGAAAAACGTGCGCTGAAAAAGGTTTAACGGCAAATTCGACGGTTAAACAGTGGTATTATCCACCTCGTAAAATAATGATGCAGTAATCATTCTCCACTGGAGGCGTGTGGCTGTACCATAGTACCACAGACTGGGTTCTCCAGCTTCCTAAATCGTCAGAAGATTGATCGCGTCTGCAGCGAATAAGCGGGAACAAATAAAGGATAGGTGGTACGAACGCCAGCCAAGTCAACCACGCTGCGGTGCGCCGTTTCCGGTTTTTTCCGGGTCGCTCAGTGGGCTGGCCACACCCACACTTTGCCCTATCTCAGTTTCATGGGCAATTTCTCTCCCTCTTTCGCTGCTGTACCTGACCCAAGTTTGCAGCCGCGCCCAGATCCGGAGCAGTGTTTAGCCTGCCACTGTGCTGCTTATCTGACTCCGTACTGTTCTGTGCACGGAGCCTGTATCGTATGCCATCGGAAATTTGCACCGCATGTAAAATTCGATCGCTGAATCTGCAGTCTTCCTTTGGTATAACGGTGCAAGTATGAAGGATAAGCGCATGTATGTTAATTGTTAAACCACCAGTTCTTCCCAAGTTGGTGGTTGTTAACATTTTTCTTATTCACAAGTTTTCAAACTTTTTAGACAAATAGTATCACCACAACATATCCTTTTGCAGTTCTCAAAGATCTCCCACCTGAGTTTGTACGGCGTACAAGCTGAGGTGGGCGAACAGCAAATGTAATTTCTATTTCCATGGTATATCCAGTGGAATCAAAGGTTTATTGGTAAACTCGGAACTCGTACTGGTAGCAGTAGAGTTTGAAAAGATTTGCAACGTTAATCGCTCGGCGAACAGTAAGTATTGTCCCAGTCGCTGAATTTAGTATCACGTCCGTACATTTCGCGAGATGTTTCGTAGACACCCCGCATTTCGACGATCTCTGTGTCGATCGCTCTTTAGACTATAGAGCGATCGATACAGAGGTCCTCGCCACGCCATGTACTCCATCCACTCCAGTGACTCCACGCCAATTGTGGCGACAGAGCTGCCATATTGCTAGGTAAGAGGAATCCAGGAATGCCTGACAATTTATTTCGAAGAGCCATAACACGGTAATTTTATAACATAGTGCTTTCTCAGTTTCTTTTTCAGCCCGAAGTATCAAGGAATCTTTTGCCGAAGTGGGACTTCAAACCGTAGAATTACAGTAATATCGGTATAATGAACTTCAACTAATTCTTTCAAACTTTTTCTTGCTGCGATAGTTTGAAATTAAAAAGTTTTCCATTTCGTTGGACCGACTTGCATTTGGGTGTTAAAGCTTTTATGCGAAACGTCACTTTTATTTATAAAAAGTGATAAGTGTACGAAATGTACGAAAGTACACTTATAAATGTACGTGTACGTACACTTACTTTAATTGTAAAATTTATGAACGTACACGTACCACGACAAGTGTACGAACGTACATTTATCAGAAACACTTCTCATACACCCTGACATTTTGTTTGTTGTAACGTGTGAGGAGCTTATTGTATTCTTCGTGTAACCATGTTTTTAGTGGACCACGCCATCCCACCAAGGACGCCCGAAGTAACCGCACTAGGGTTGCTCGTGGACAAGATCCGTTGGAGGATTCCAAGCACTAATGGCAGAAGAGAGTCTTATTTACGCTTTTTTGCATCACTCACGATTGCTTCTCCCAAGGGTACGTGGAGCCTGCAACTTTACTGGAGTCGTCATATTGCTGTTTGCAAGGTAAGTATGAATGTGTTGATTATTTCGCCAAATTTCGGGACGTAGCCTGCGATGTACATCAGTAACAGATCTTTGAGTACTTCTATACTGACTGAGATACAGTAATCCGCGATCCGCTTGTTTAACGCCATTCTCTTTTCATATTTTCGTCATAAGCAGGCTTCGCAACGCTTGTGTTTATTCCTAAATAAATTGTAGCTGGGTGATATTTGTTATGACTGAAGTATGTGCTTATACTTTATAAAACTGATGCGCACTTTAAGAACTCAGATATATTAAATTCCTCACAATATTGTAATTTTATATTCTTATGTACGCAAATTTCAAAAATATACTAATTAGTTTTAATTCTATTGCAGATAACGTAATTTGTTACTGGACCAGCGTGTTCGTTCGTCGGATGCAACCGAAAAAGCAGAATGCTTTTTCTTTGGATGCATGCGATGAAGGTACATGTATCTTCGAAGATACCAGAACTAAAACGGATTTGACTGACGCCGTACTGACTGCGGTGACCCTGTTAATCGGACCACCGTTAGGAAGGTCATCGTAGTCAGTAAGAACTTGGTCGCCGGCACCTACTACGACCTGGGCGAAGAACAGTTTTTGGAATTGCATCCGCCAATCCGCTGGCAAATCCCCAACAGATTATCGACGTTGTATGTATCGACGTTGTATTGTTGTATGTAACAGATTCATGTATGTACTTGTATTTGCTGCGATAAGGAACTGTAGCGATAATATTTGTACGACCGGAAAGCTGACCACCCACTTATGATATATATTCCACTGCGTCAGATAATATGTGTACGACCGGAAAGCTGACCACCCACTTATTTTTCATTACTCCACTGCGTCATTAAATTCCGTTCAATTTACCAGGTATTTCTCCTCGTTAATTTTTAGAATCCAGTTTTTCACTCCCTTGCAACAGCTTGCATCAACTTGTTCCTCCTTTCTAAACCTTGCTTATAATTATTAAACCCTTGCACCGTTTCTTGCAGTGCTCTTGTCATTAAACATGCCGTGAGTTACGTTGTTGCGTTTGACCGCTTGGGATAAACCAGCGTCATCCCAGTCGGTGAGACCTGTGTAATTGTGTACGCCGTTAACAGAACACACGACACGACACCGTTGCCGATTGTGCAAACCTTTCATCCCAGCAGTCCTATAGGGAATGGGTGATCGTCACCTCACTACAACAGCAGCCAGAGGCTGCCTTTACATCACAGTACGGATCATAATATTATAATATATCAAAATCGATAAATTTTGTTATATGTTATCGTACGCTACCTATCATGAGTCGGAGACGCCAGTCAGTGTTGTCGCTGTCACAAGCAAACGCGGTAGGATGTCTTCGGCTGTGATTTATTGAAAGACTACCAGGTCCTGTCATTGCTTAAAACTTAAAACATTTTGTAATGCTTTTCACTGTTAAAATACTCCCGACTTTTTTTATGCGCTCTGAAGCTGATGTTT